TATATGGAAGTTAAGTTCTATACGGGCTTTTCTGATTTGGATACTTTCTGAAAATTTTCAGTCGGAGTTGGGGCTTGATTTATTTCTTCTACAGTAGGGGAGTCTTGGTAAGTATAGGGGTCATCGTAATAAGTGTAGTCAGAATATTGTTCTGTAGGATAACAATAGTCATCCTGTTCATAGTCGGTATAGTTATGGTTATTATAGTCATAGTCGTAATAAAATTCATTCATGTTTAACTCACGCGTTTTGAAGTAGTTGCTTGGGGGTGGATTACCATATATTCTCCAATCGCGACCGGAAGGCGGTAGTGGTTTTGGTATGAACGGGGTTACACCACTCATAGGACGTGGGGTTGATTGTTGCTGAGGCTGAGGTTTATTAGGCAATCTAAAAACGTTACTATTTGGGTTATAGTTAGGTGGCGGAGCCCGGAAAACTTGCTGAGTACGCGTAATATTACGGGGTTGTTGGACTAAAGTATTATTGGGTCTCCAACCTGGCACAGGGGGTTGTATGGGCTGGTGACGAGAGGGACCAGGCAAATTATATATAGGCTGTCTAGAATGTTCTGATATATTAGGCATGTTAAATGTCGATTGTCTCGGAATAAAGTTATTAAGTGGTAAATTATAATTATTAGGTTGCAAATTAACTCCGTCCTTTCTTGTTGGGCCACCTTCGTTGCGACATTGTAAATAAAGAGTGTTCAATTCATCCTGTACGTATTCTAATGCCTTTTCCATAGTGTCAGGTCGCATACAGCGTATCCTGGACCCTAATGGATCTTTTAGACCTCTAAGGTAAGCTTGTAATGTTAACTTTTGATATAATTCACGTTTAGCCGTTATTGTAGTAGAAACTGTTTCGTGGAGCGACACGTATGTCATAATAGTACTAAATAAATTTTGACACCGTTCATAAAATTCTTGAGGTGTACTGGACCCTTGAGATTGTAAAGATAAGTCACTATATAGAGCGGTCTCATCTCGATGGTCTGCGAAGTTATTAATTAAAGCAGATCTTATGCCGTCCCATGTTTCTGGGATGCCATTCGCGTTTATAAATCGAGCCGCGGGGCCAGTAATCTTATTTAATATGCCATTGATTAGAGCCAAATTCGCGAGGTCATGTCCCGGCGTGATATCAAAATTTGCTAGTACCAATTGATCACATAGTTTAATAAACCTCGTTAAAACGTGAGGGTTGCCATCAAATTCAGGCAAAAGTCGGAGGGACTTATAAATTACGTCAATATCGTTTTGCGCCATATTATCTTCTATGTCTCTACTCTCGTCTATAATATTAAGCCTTCTAATCCTACTACTCCTATCTATCTTACGCAATTGACGTGGATGAAAAATTTTGGTAACTTAATTTAACACACAGAAAAATAAAATAAAATGTATAACACAATTAGAAAAGAATTATCACAATAGATATTATACTGTGAACAGAAAATGTAACTTATATATAAAATAATTATATAGGTATATTAAATAATTATATATCTTAAGGATAAGGGCAAGGACTTGAAAGATTCAAGGACTTACAGCATTGCTTCTTCTTAACGAATCGATGTTCGGATTCCCTTCTGGTCTGCAGCTTCCTTAGATTCGATACCCGTTACGCGACTTGAAAGCCACTCGGGCGGCTCTTTAGCGAAATCGGAAATTTTCTCCTAAACGCGATCCCGAACCGACCCGCGAGTATCCTACCGACTGCGCCAAATAAGTTATCTGCAGCCGAAGGTCTTAAAAAAAAGCAAATTTTAATAGACTAAATTTAATTATAAAAGAATTACAAGTAAAGTATGATAATGCTTCGAAGTGTGAAACAAATATGAATTATAATATTTAATTTTGACGGAAACGCTGGTGGTGTTGCAATGCCTGTCACGTTCCGCTGACGCTGCGCCTCGTGCCGCCTGGTGCCGTGTGCATTGTTGATCGGTGTCGATGCTGACTTGGCGATTGTCATATATTAGGCGTCCGTAACACCTATGTAAATATTATAGGAATACTATCAATCTATCTTAAATCAAAACAAGAAAAGAGACCTGTCATTGAAGAAATTTTTTGTAAGTACTGCGTTTCCGAATTCAGCATTTCTTGTTTTTCTAAAGTTTTTATTGCATTTATCTCCTCCATTATTGGTTGAATATCACCATCACAGTTATCTGAAATAGAGCAATATTTTATAAAAAATATCTGTTTAGTTAATTACAGAAAATTAAAACGAAAGTATCAAAATTATAATACAAAACTAACCTAAAAAAGATACAACTTTATCTAATCGTTGTAATTTCTCCATGAAATTTTTATTTAATTCAGTTTTCACTTCAGTAAACTTGTCAATCATGATAGAAAGAAGTTTCCTCGATGAACTTTTTATCGGCTTCGACATAATTTTTAACCAAAAACACAAGTTCAAATTCGCAAAAACAACAAAATTCAATATTCTTGAATTGTCTAACGTAGTGTCAAACTGACAGTTCTATGTTGTTGCCATATGAAAACGGAAAAATAGGTGGTGTCACGTTTCGCTTGCCAAACTCTATCATTTGTTTAGAGCCCTGAAACAGCATTTGCGGGGTAAACAATTTAATGATTTCTCTGACGTAGAGGCGGAGTTGAACAACTTTTTCGAGGCACACCCATCAGAGTTCTGGGCAAAAGGCATCCAAACTTTGCCGGATCGTTGGCAAGAAGTCTTAGGCGCCTATTACACTACCCAATCTATCGGGCCCGATCCATCGGGTACACTGTAAATTGGGTAGTCTAATCGCAGTTAGAGAGTTAGGGTCCCGATATCGGGTGAACGTGGGCGCCCGATCGCCCGATGATAGTTAGGGCCGATTTATCGGGTAATGTGATCGCTGTTAGGGTGTTAGAGCGCTCAGTCGGTTGTTGCGCAGCGTGCGTGTGAGACGTTAGTGAACGACAACGAAATTTGCAAACAGACGAAAATGTGTTCTCAAAAGGAAAATAAATAATATTAAGTGTAATTTAATATTATTACTTTTTCTTATATATATATATATATATATATATATATATATATATATATATCAATATGATATAATGTTTTAAACATTTCTAGATAGCCTTTGCATGTGTCTGGTACAATTATAATTTTATATAAATTACAATACCTAATAAAAACTAATATTTATATTATTAAAACTTTATATTATTGTTGTGCCCAATAGGGTCCATAGTGAGACTAACTTAATTATGTAATATTATTTTAAATTACCTATGGAAACAATAAACTTATTGAGTATTTATACTTTAAGTCATGATATGCATTTCCCGTTGTTTAAAATTTTAAGGTTACAGCACAGCTAATCGCTGTTTTGCGCTATATAAGGTATGACTAAGTTTAATATATGATCAAATTGTGCAGAACTCTTTCAGTTAAAGTATGGGCTATGCCCATACATGCGGGCTAAGTAGTTCAAACTGCATAGATGGTCTCTTAGAAGCAAATATTTTTCACCCAACATTTTGTTTTATTATTTACGCCTGCAGTTAAAGTATGGGCTATGCCAATTTTTTGGTACTTTGTGAGCGGAGGAGCCATCCATTCAACGCCACGTTTGCATGCCAACTGAGTTAGGGAGGCGATCTAGTGCAGTGTAATCACAACGACACCGACCGCCCTAAATCGCGGCCGATATATCGTGCCCGATAGATTGGGTAGTGTAATAGGCACCTTAGATACTAATGGTAATTACATCATTGACTTAACTTTTTTTATTGTAATAATAATAAAAAAGTAAAAACTTAAACCAAGTGTCTCATTACTTTTGTGCCAACCCGATACATTCATTTCTCGTGCAATATTCTGTAATGCTGTTGCACACATTTCTTTATTTCTGTAATTTTGTGATTTATTATCCCACAGACATTCATTGTCGCGGCATAGTTGAATAAGCCTCTATGAATAAGCCTTAAGTTTTCTGTGTCGCTCAGATTTCGCGTCATTTTGTGATGCGGTCACTGACTCTGCAGTTTGACTGACGTTAGTTACTGACTCAATGTAAAATTGCCTTTACATATTCTACTATTCCAAGTATGTAACTCATGTTTTATATCATGTGAACTGTTTGCAAAAAAGGGCTTGAAGCGTTCTTAAAGTAATTTACCTTCTTTGATATACGATAATGTAAAGAACAAGAGCGAGAGGTCAAAAAATTATTTTCAAATATATGCAGTACTTTATATAATTTTTATTATATTTATTATTGCTTTCCCATTATTACTCTTTTCAGTGTGGCATTCCGAAGAAAAGTCTACTATAAGAACGCCTACCACCATAACAGTACTTAGGTAAAATAAAAAACAAGTTAAAAAAAATATTCGTTTATACATTTCTGATTACATACTAATTTAATTTTAGTTTGTTGTCTTTAAACACTTTGTTAGTTACCTGTTTTGGATATAATAATAATAATCCTATTAAGGAAAGGTCGTCAATCTCGTTCACCTAAGAATGAACACAAGAATCATGCGATTGTGGCATTGAGGAAGGAACTGTGGATCATAATATATTATTTAATTGTCCAAAATCATCCATTTCGCTTTATGATTTGCTGTCATCAAAAGTTCCACGTCCAACAAATATAAAATATCTTGAGTATAGGGAAACCCAGCCTATTCAAAATTCTATTAAAATTCCTTGCAATCAATAATAGACTTAATTTATAAATATCTTTGTTTTCTATATACATTCTATTTGTATTATCTTTAACAATGTAATCAGATAGACGCGCTCAGAGCTTTTTTATTTTATTTTATTTAAATTCAAAACTGACATATTTTATTATTGTTTCTTTACGTGTAAACGCAAATAGGCCATGAATTAAAAATGAAGAAGGAGAATTAGTATGTGAAAGGGTCTTTAAAAGTGTTGCTAGTTTATAAAATATTCTTTCACAACGGTATGACTGTAGCTTTTTTAGGTATAGCAAGTAATGATAGTAAATCTGTCAAAAAGAAAACCGAACGAATGAGTAGTAAATCGTTTCTTGTACTTTTTATCGAAGAAACGCTAAATTCATGAAAAATATTAGTTTTTCTATGGATTTAGAATAATTTAAATACGTGTACTTATTAATTTTAATTATGTTTTGGAGCGGTAATTATATGGTAGTTAGGGAGTTGAATTACCTTCTCAAAGAAGAGGTGCGTATTTTGTCAAAAATTTTGATGGTTATAAAGTGGATAGTTGGACGAATCTGATGTTTCGGATGAACTTTAAAAGATTTGTATTGTTTTATATTGCATTGTGTAACGTGCCGTTATCTTCAAACTTTTAATTCATGTTATTGTGTAAATATTGTCGTTATTGTCCTGTTTCAGAATGTAACACTCACGCAAGTATTAGAGGCGGATGATATTTTGCATGAATGTCAAGCGGACAACAAAGCTTTGATGCAATTGTGAGTACCGCTATTATCTATAAACTATACTATGCAAACAAAAAGGATCTATGAGACTTATTTTTATATTAGTAAATTATGCAACTGTATAAATAACATAAAATGTCGTTATTTGTTAAGACAGAGTTGTTAGTGCTAAATCAGAATATGAGGAAATAAAGGGAAATATAGATGTGATAATCTTTCAGTCTGAGTAATACACAGTTGATGTTTATGAACTGTGACAATTTCAAAAACACAGACGATAAACAATAATAATGACCTCATTTTGTTTAATATTAATATGTATTCAGAAACAATTTTAATTTTTTATTTCAGTCTTACAGAACCAAAGAACCTGGCAGAATTAATAACACTTATAACAGAGGAGCCCCCCAAAAATGTGGAACTTGCATCCCAATATAAACATGCGAGTATCGCATGTGAAGTTCTCACAAGCCACTTGTCCACACTCAGTGACCGTTTGTCCATGAACGTAGTGCAGATGAACAGACTATGTGACTTCATTAACAGAGACCCACCTTTAAACCCATTATTGGCATCATACTTTAGTAAAACTGTGGAAATGTTACTCGAGAGGAGTCCCAAACAGGTAACTTTGAACAAAAATTGACTTGGATATTTATATAACAAAAATTTACTTATTTGGACCAAGTTTATTGCTAAATCATATATTTTACTGTTTTATTATTTATTGATAGCTATTTGTTGTCACAACAGGTAGGATTATTATGTGAATGCAAGGGTTTGAAATTACATTATATTGTGCCAAATAATTTATGTTTGATCCATACTTTGTAGACCTTTAATAACTGTGCTTATGAGGCAATAATTATATATATTTGTTATTTGAGTTACTTGTTGCATGTATAATACTTGGTATTATCTTTGAAATTAGGTAATTTCCAGAATAGCATTGTGAAGGGAAAATTGATCAAATATGTTAATTAGGTAATATTTTATTTTTAATTAATATTGCTTTGAGAAATCCCAGTAGCAGATTTTGTTTATATAAAATAATGGGTCTTTTGTATATATCTGTAAAAAAAACATATTTATTTACTTTAAAACATGTTATATACATGTAGTGTGACACAAAAATGCATTATGTAATATGGATAATTGTGTTATGCTTAAAAAATTTTTTTTATAGACAAATTTATTACAAATTTTTATATTTGCTTGTTTTTGCCATGTGTAAGTTGTTTTTGCTTTAATAATTTTGAGTTAAGTTTGGAACTCAAACACAGAAGTAATTAAATGATTATTTAACCATATTCAGTTGCAAATGTTATTGTTCTAAGACATCACATAGTCTTGTAAAATTGTCCTGTTGTCTATATTTTTTAAATATAATTTGTAGAAATCGCATAAGTTATTTATTTATTTGTTTTTAACATTCAACAAAGATTTATTGTATAAATTGTATAAACATATACTTGAATTACATATAATACAATATTTGTAGTAGGTTTCTATTTTGTTTGAAGTAAACATATATGTAAGTTTTTTTGTATTGTTGTGTGTGTGTGTGTGTGTGTCTGTGTACATATATAATGTGCATTTGAACCTATTTGTGGGCTTGCTAGCGCACGTGTTGTTTGTTGCCGGCTGTCATGTTGCCTCTCTGCCGCAGGCGAGCCCCGGCCATGGGAGGGTGACCAACCTAAATAAATTGCCGGCGCTGATGCCCGCTAAAGTACTAAGGAACCTCTGTTTTGCCCAGGACTGGTACCTATACCACATAGTGTGCCTGCGGGTGCTCGAATTCTTCAAGTCCCGCCGGGACTTCCTGCCTAACTTGCTGCGCCACATATCCACTTCCGCCATTGCGGATACATTCAAGTATTTTATAAGGCTTGATGACCTTTTCAACAAAATTATAATGGAGGTAAGAGTTATTCAAACTAAATAATGATATTTGATCCTGACTTACACGGTCAGAGTATTAAGATTAGTGTTTAAGTACTCAAATAAAGATAAATGACCAACTGTTAGAATATTATTTTTAGGGTTCTGTACTCAAACGCGGAATGTATTACTAAGACTTTAATGTCTGTCACCAGGCTCTATCTCATGAATTGTGAAAGTTAGACAGTTGAAATTTCCATAGATGATGAATTTCTGTTGCCGCTTCAAGAACAAATACTCAAAACCAGAATAATATAAATATTTAATGAGGGCTCCCATACAACAGACATGATTTTCTTTACTATCATAATATTATAACCTAAAAAAAATGCTGAATGTCGCTTAATCTGTACTCTAATCAATGAGTCATCTTTTTTCTCATATTATTTGTTACATACATTAAACTTAATCAATATATTAAATTTATTTAATTGGCCATAATTGTTAAATAACTTAAATAAATTACTTTTTAGGGTTTCATATCGCAAGGGTGAAATGAGAGCCTTATTACTATGACTTTGCTGTCTGTCTATCACCAGGCTGTATCGTGTGATAGATAGACAGTTGAAATCACAGATAATGCATTTTTTTGCTGCTATAACAACAAATACTAAAAATATAATCAAATTAATATTAAAGGGGGCTGGCTCCCATACAACAAACATTATTTTTTTGCTGTCACCAGGTTGCATCTCATGAACTGTCATAATAACACAGTTGAGATTTACATACACAAATCATGTATTATTAAAAATAGAATAAATTTCGGTACGGAGAGCTTTGTGCTTCTTGGTCAGTTTTTTTTTATTCTTTTGTAAATTACAAAGAGTTTATTTTTAGTATGCACTGTAAGTCCCCATTTCCAGGATGCAGAATGTTCTTTAAAGTACAAACATTAAATGCTCATGGAGATTTTGGGGCATATTATTGTAAGTGCAATGGTTCATAATGTTTTCATCAAGATGTGATGAATGATGATTTTAAGGAAATTCGGAGCTTATACGAGAAGATTCCCATTATGTAAAACAAAATATATATACAATGCTCATTTTTTCCTTTCATTTTTCTTATTTCAATATTTATGCTTATGGTTTTCGTTAATAATAGTGCTAAAATACACAAATTCACTTTATTACTATTTTATGTATACTTCAATAAAAAAATAGATTTCCTCTAAATTTTAAATTAAGTTCTCGTAAGTCGTAACTACAAAAGCAAACTTCTATAAGTTTGCTTTTGTAAGGGTCGGTGAAATTCTAACGGAACATCCGTCAAGCGTTTAACAGAAGTATGCTGAAGGACATCCCCTATCGCTCGTCCGTTGAGTGTGCAAGGTGGAATGTCCATCACACATTTGTCAGTTGTGTCCGCGATCGATACGTAACGCATCTTTCGTTACATATGCACCGATCCTATCAGATAAAAACATTTTATCTTACATAAATTAAGCATAAGTATACCTAGACCTATTCAAAACCCCACATACAAAACTCTGACTCAAAAATTGTGTTGACATGTAGAATAATAAACTAGCATCAAATGATAAAATTAATGTATATATAATACCCATAATGATTTCACAACAACACAGCTGATTCACTGCTTACACATTATTCATCGCCAGAACACTCAGTGAAATTTATTGATTCGGTTGACAAATAAGTTGTAATATCAACAGACTTTAATTACATATATCATCTATAGTAAAAATATAAATAGTTCCAATCGAAATACATATTTTGAAAGTTAATAACCTTTCGGAAATAGATCACATACCAGACTATGCTATGTTTTTGCTTCTTTTATTTGTAAAACCAATATTTGTAAAGTCGCTCATTTTAATACAAAACAGCTGTGCATATTCGTCACATTTTTTAAATAAAAACCAGAATTTTTATTAGTCATAAACCTAATCAGTTAACCTTATTTCTATTAGGGTTTAAGTAGGCTAGAAAATAACAAGTTTCCGATAATAATCAAAACCGGGTTTTGTTTTATTATGGAACGAGAGAGGTCCGAGACATACACTTATTTAATTTTACTATCAACCATCGATATAAAGTCGATATGTGCATTAAAATCTGATATGTCGCGTCAGTGGTTCGAAGAGCATCAGTTCCTGGAGTGCCTGATCCAGATAATCTGCGGGACTTACGTTCCCGAGCCGGTGGGGAGGGGGGCATCGGCGGGGGGCGAGGGAGCGAGGCAGCCGTCCCCGGACCAGCCCGAGAAGGGACAGCTCGAGGCCAGCGAGAAGGCCGACGCCGACCGTGCCGCACACGACGGTAGGAAAGGTACCTGCACCGATTCAATATTGACATTGCAGGTTATAACAGTGAATATAGGTATTTTGAATCGATATGCTTGTTCGCGTATTTGGCTTGATCCACAGACTAACTAACTAACCACAGAAAATTGATAAATAAGAATCCTCGTTGATCTTAATATTGATTTATTAGTGATCGAAACACTTGATATTTGATGCTCGCGACAATGCCTCGATTGCACTGTTGATGTATAGAAAATGTGAATGAATGTGTAAATGCCGATGCGGTTATATGCTTAATGTGCAGTACAAACCGGACAAAGCTGATTACAGGATAGGGACGGGCGAACAGTTCGCAGGTCACCGTAATATGTCAAAATCGTATCGAGGAATACATCTATGCATAATTCGTACACAGACGTCATGGAGAGGAACGGGGAAGTAACGAACGAGGCTCGACAACCGGGCGCGGACGCGCAGGCGGCGGTGGATGCGGAGGCGGCGGCGGCGGCGGACGCGGAGGCGGAGGCGGAGAGGAGAGCGGAGCGGATAGCGGGCGTGGCGTCCGCCAACGCCGCCGCCCTGCTGTGCGACCTCATCCTCAGCGGGTGTGCGGGGGACGGGTACAACACCAGGTACGGGTGCACCTCCTTCGCGGCCCCCTTCCCGAACTGACGCTCCGAATTATTTTTTTAATTATCATAATTTTTAGCACAGCTTTAGAATACAATAAGGTAACATAGTGGTAATATCGTATAACCTCACCTTAAGATAATGTCTTCATCACCTTAGTTTAATTTAGCACCGTAAACTGTTTTTAGGCTAGCCAATAACCTCAGAATAGTCTCAGTTCCCGATTCATGTGTAATATTAACGGCCGTTTGTTTCTTTTGATAAATAAATAAATTAATATTATCATTATTTTTTTGAAAAAGTTTGGGAAGGGTCTTCACAGCGAACGTGCAGCATATTTTTTAGGAGATACATTGAAGTCGTTCAGTTTTAAAATAGTGGAACGTCTCCACGGAGCCCCTGTCATAATGCGTTGTCCGGGCGATTGTTATGTTTTCCGTGCACCGACTAGTGTCGTGTTTTGGTGTGTGCAGGGCGCGCACTAGCTGGGCGCTGGTGGGGCGGCTGGCGGGCGCGGGCGCGGCGCAGCTGCTGGGGGGCATGTTCACGGCCCCGCCGCGCCGCCGCCGCCACGCCCTCGTGCACGGCGCGCACGTGCTGCTCGCGCTGCTGGACCGCGACCCCGCCCAGTACGTACCGCACCACACTACGCTACACTACACTACACTACACTACACTACACGGCCCCGCCGCGCCGCCGCCGCCACGCCCTCGTGCACGGCGCGCACGTGCTGCTCGCGCTGCTGGACCGCGACCCCGCCCAGTACGTACCGCACCACACTACGCTACACTACACTACACTACACTACACTACACGGCCCCGCCGCGCCGCCGCCGCCACGCCCTCGTGCACGGCGCGCACGTGCTGCTCGCGCTGCTGGACCGCGACCCCGCCCAGTACGTACCGCACCACACTACGCTACACTACACTACACTACACTACACTACACGGCCCCGCCGCGCCGCCGCCGCCACGCCCTCGTGCACGGCGCGCACGTGCTGCTCGCGCTGCTGGACCGCGACCCCGCCCAGTACGTACCGCACCACACTACGCTACACTACACTACACTACACTACACTACACGGCCCCGCCGCGCCGCCGCCGCCACGCCCTCGTGCACGGCGCGCACGTGCTGCTCGCGCTGCTGGACCGCGACCCCGCCCAGTACGTACCGCACCACACTACGCTACACTACACTACACTACACTACACTACACGGCCCCGCCGCGCCGCCGCCGCCACGCCCTCGTGCACGGCGCGCACGTGCTGCTCGCGCTGCTGGACCGCGACCCCGCCCAGTACGTACCGCACCACACTACGCTACACTACACTACACTACACTACACTACACGGCCCCGCCGCGCCGCCGCCGCCACGCCCTCGTGCACGGCGCGCACGTGCTGCTCGCGCTGCTGGACCGCGACCCCGCCCAGTACGTACCGCACCACACTACGCTACACTACACTACACTACACTACACTACACGGCCCCGCCGCGCCGCCGCCGCCACGCCCTCGTGCACGGCGCGCACGTGCTGCTCGCGCTGCTGGACCGCGACCCCGCCCAGTACGTACCGCACCACACTACGCTACACTACACTACACTACACTACACTACACGGCCCCGCCGCGCCGCCGCCGCCACGCCCTCGTGCACGGCGCGCACGTGCTGCTCGCGCTGCTGGACCGCGACCCCGCCCAGTACGTACCGCACCACACTACGCTACACTACACTACACTACACTACACTACACGGCCCCGCCGCGCCGCCGCCGCCACGCCCTCGTGCACGGCGCGCACGTGCTGCTCGCGCTGCTGGACCGCGACCCCGCCCAGTACGTACCGCACCACACTACGCTACACTACACTACACTACACTACACTACACGGCCCCGCCGCGCCGCCGCCGCCACGCCCTCGTGCACGGCGCGCACGTGCTGCTCGCGCTGCTGGACCGCGACCCCGCCCAGTACGTACCGCACCACACTACGCTACACTACACTACACTACACTACACTACACTACACGGCCCCGCCGCGCCGCCGCCGCCACGCCCTCGTGCACGGCGCGCACGTGCTGCTCGCGCTGCTGGACCGCGACCCCGCCCAGTACGTACCGCACCACACTACGCTACACTACACTACACTACACTACACTACTACACGGCCCCGCCGCGCCGCCGCCGCCACGCCCTCGTGCACGGCGCGCACGTGCTGCTCGCGCTGCTGGACCGCGACCCCGCCCAGTACGTACCGCACCACACTACGCTACACTACACTACACTACACTACACTACACTACACGGCCCCGCCGCGCCGCCGCCGCCACGCCCTCGTGCACGGCGCGCACGTGCTGCTCGCGCTGCTGGACCGCGACCCCGCCCAGTACGTACCGCACCACACTACGCTACACTACACTACACTACACTACACTACACGGCCCCGCCGCGCCGCCGCCGCCACGCCCTCGTGCACGGCGCGCACGTGCTGCTCGCGCTGCTGGACCGCGACCCCGCCCAGTACGTACCGCACCACACTACGCTACACTACACTACACTACACTACACTACACGGCCCCGCCGCGCCGCCGCCGCCACGCCCTCGTGCACGGCGCGCACGTGCTGCTCGCGCTGCTGGACCGCGACCCCGCCCAGTACGTACCGCACCACACTACGCTACACTACACTACACTACACTACACTACACGGCCCCGCCGCGCCGCCGCCGCCACGCCCTCGTGCACGGCGCGCACGTGCTGCTCGCGCTGCTGGACCGCGACCCCGCCCAGTACGTACCGCACCACACTACGCTACACTACACTACACTACACTACACGGCCATTATATATTCACTTTCGGTTATCTCTCCCCGATGGTCTCTGGAGTTCCATATTCGCATACTCGTCTGCCGAGATCGAGCGGACGTCCTAGTCGCGTTTTCGGGGCCGAGGGAGGGTGTCGACATTTCGCCGGTTCCTCCCCCGCTTCGAGCGGAACGATCGAAATATCGCTCTAATAGTGTCAACGTTACTCCCGGGAGAACGCGGGGGCGACGGGCGACAGCCGAGCGGGCGGGCTGACGGCAATATGTGACGTGTGCAGGGGCGGGGAGTGGGAGGCGGAGCGCACGAGCGTGGAGGCGTGCGTGGCGCCGCACCTGCCGCTGCTGCACCAGGCGCTGCTGGCGGGGGAGGGGCAGGGGGAGGGGGAGGGGGAGCCGCGCGTGGGGCTGGCGCGCGTGCAGGTGGCGGCGCTGCTGGCGCACCTGGCGCTGTCGGAGGTGGAGGAGGTGTGCACCACCATGATCACACTAGGTCAGTCGCACCACGTCGCGGCCCCGACTGGCGTACTCCCCGACGCGTGGCTAACCGAGTAGGCGAACTGTATTGCAGGCACGATGGGCGTGGTGCTGGAGCTGTTCTTCCGCCACGCGCACAACAACTTCCTGCACGCGCAGACGCTGGCGCTGGTGCGGCACGCGCTGGCCAACCCGCGGTACCGCGCGCACTACGCCGCACACGTCAGTACCTCACACTTTTGTTGCTCCGGGTGTACGCTCGTTATATTTCGGTTTTGCGGATGGATCGCTGCGTGTTCGCTTTATAGAAATTTAAATTGTTTATTTGATCGATAGTAATGTCGATATACCTATTCGAATAATAAAATACAAGATATACTTGATTGATTTTTGTTTGTATATATTAAATAAGGCTTCCAAAGCTCCTCGTCCTCGGGTGACGTAGGGTGTAATTTACGCGAGCGAAGTCGTGGTAAAAAAGCTAGTATACAATGAATACATATAGGTTATACCGTTGCGTTCCTTGTTATTTATATCCTTTATTTAAATATATAATTCTGAATGCAAAATAGATCAAATATGTTTTTTTTTATATTTTGCGTAAGAAATAATTCACAGACGAAAACTTGAACACCGGCTACAGGAAATCTTAATCACTCTTTACACTTATTCTAATAAAATTTATATGAATATTTCACTTCTTAACGTGTTTGCATTGTTTCCATGTACTTGTTATAAACATAAGCTAATATACGAAGACGATATATCGAAACAAGAACAAACTTCCAAAAACGTTGATAGTTTTCTGTAAAACTTAATATCTCTCTCTCTATTGTGTCACATCAGGTTCCAAAATAAACTTCATACTTTTCAACATATAAGAATTTTTTAATAACAAATTTCAAATATCTTTACCTAATTTCGGGAAATAATATAATAAAATAATATCATTGTAACTGTTTATTTTCGATTGTATATAGTTATAAAAAAAATCATCATGTATATAATTTTATGTTCACAGTTGTTGGTGGAATGTGATTTGCTGACGAGACTAATAGACGCATACGAAGAAAATGAAAATCAGAAGTGAGTAAATTGTACATGTATTTAATGGCCTTAATATTGAAATAAATTGGTCACAGAGCTCTGTGCGCAAGCGGCGATATTGATAACTTATTTGGGACATTGGAATTGTTCACTTTTTACTGTGATTACGACTGTAATCTGTCAGTTGTCCAATCGAAAGTATTGTAAACACACAAATTGTGCCAATGGGATTCACCTGTATAGGTTTTAGTCTACTCCGCATTCGCATATTTTGATATTGTGATTATATAATCTTGACTGCGTTTAATTATTCTACTTGCGTGTTATCTACTGACACACTCGACTCTCGCTTCCATATATTATCGTTAGGTTCAGCAGCTCAATATGCACAGCGAACTGTGATTTGAGCTGACTCAAGATTTTATACTGCTCAGAAATTTTCCAATAATCCATTTATGCTATGCCCAGCAGCCACTGACTTTTCTATGTTAGCGATGGACCTTGAAATATTACTAAGAACATAATATCAGTGACGTGCATAACATACATGCAAATAAGCACTGTATACCCTACCCATAAAACCCAATTTAATCTTACCTTAATAGTCATGCATTAGCTCGATACGAATATTCACAGAGAATCGTGATCATGATTTGGTTAATTTAGTAAAAGTGCCATCTATCAAAAATAGACAGAACTACAGGATATAATCGTGAGCAATCTTATGATCGTCATTATTCGTGATCGTGAGTGAGTGAGATAGTTGATCGAATAGAATTTTTGTGAACGCCACGACGTCATCTGCATCAAGGGGACAGCTAAAAACTAGCTACCACACGTTGGTATATCGGATTCTCCGGTGGCAACTGTCGCTAAAACGTCTCTACCAGACGGATCGTCGTCTACCCGCACGCGTGCCGCAGAGGCCCCTCGGGTGACCTATCTCGGCAACACACCCCAGAGCGTCGTTTGTCCTACTTTTTCGTATGCATTCTCTAGAACCACAAAATCGTAGAAAATTAACTTTTCCACGATGTTGCGGAGCGTAAAGACTCGATCGGTGCATATCGCTCCACTTCTGAATCCACTCCGAGTTTTCCTTAGCATTATGGGATTTCACACTCGTTCTCCTTTGAAGTATTTCTCCTTCCACCGGTCCGGTTGCAGATCGCGGCCGCGCGCGGGCTACATGGGCCACGTGGTGCAGATGCTGCGCTGCGTGGACAAGGCGCTGGAGGACGCGGCCGTGCAGGCGCTGCTGCCCGCGGCCGCGCTGCAGCGCCACCAACACTTCCGCCACCACCACCTGGAGCACCTGCTGCAGCGGCTCGACACGCCCCTGGTAACGTGCACGCCATATCCACGCCCCCACCTGCATGTTATATTTCATTTTCTCTTTTGACTTGGTTAAATTTTAATAGTTCATAATTTCAAAACTATTGAACTGTTTTAATAGAATGTGTACTGTTTTGTAAGTCGAAATCTAATTAATGATAGAAAATATCCGATCCGATTCTATATTGCAGGTAAAACATATAAACGTTCTTACACAGCTGTAAACTTACTAAATTTAACACCTTTTAAATGAATCCTTATCATATATAATACAATTACTATTTATGTTTATAATATTTTCCCTTGTTTTTAGGGCGGGTACTATCCATCGGAGAACACTTACGAGGTGAGTATTACGATCGATATCGGATTACTACGGTCACTAATACAAATTTTCGGAAATGATATAAATATTAAAAATCGAGCTACCGAAATTTAATATATACCGAAGAGTCTCCTGCGATTTGTGACATTCTTAAACTTTATTACGATTGGTATGAACATTATTAAGTTATTGAGTTATTTTTATGAAAGATTTTACTTAACTAATTCACAAAATTTAATGATTTATATACTTTTAGCTTTTTGATTTAGCTAAATTGAATAAAACATTACATTAATTTTAACGACGAGCGATTTAGTAAAAATTGTATTTTTTATTTATTTCAAATGTTTTATTTGTCAATGTTTGTGTTCAGTTTAACGAGAGGATGGAGGACGTGCCCGCCGACATCAATGCAGACGACAACGTCGAGGTAATTACAACACGTTACTTTAAGTACCTGTTTTGTTTAGACTTCTTCATCGCTACAGGGTTATCAATACCACATTTATAACATATTTTTTTAATTAGCCTAACTCACATTTACTTAGTATTAGTATGAAACGTGTCACTGACTAACAGACTGGCATGCCTCGTGTGGGTATACGCCCCCCCTTCCATCACGATGGCCTTGTTTACTTACTCGTGCCCGTCTGACATATGGTTGTAAGAAATAACAGTATACCTATATTACTGGGGTGCCAATAAAGTCGGCACATGTTTTTACAGTTGATAGAACTCAGCTTACGGAGTATATATTAATAAATATGTTATAGTTCTATAATTATTTTTTTTGGAGATAATTGGAAAACAAAATTGCTATGTTAATTACATGTATAAATCATACCTCTTTGAACAGCTTCTAGAATCTCCCTTAACTGTGCCTTAACTGGTCACTTTGCGTTGCTAAATCTTATACTTGGATTTCAATATGATGCTGTTTGTATGATGATGACATTCATCATAATGGTTTCATTATGAAAGAAATGTATATCCACTTTGTCCCTGGTACTCTGGGGTGGCATTGTGTATGCAAAATTGATCAAATATAATATTGGTAACAATTTTTTTAGCACCCGATATACATAGATTAGAAGTAATACAAACACCGTGTTGAACTTACAATATGAAATTGTTGTGTTACAGTCGCTGGCGACGGCGGTGCCTCAACCAGACGTGAGTAACCGTTTAATGATAACAGAAACACATTCCACCGCCCGTGCACACTAACGGATGTTTGTTTTTGGGTCACGTGACATCATTGATAAGTCACGTGACCTAGCGTTGTACTGCGGGATTCGATCGGCGGGATCATTTTTATGAAGTCGTTTGAGAGACAGTCAATGTGGTAGATTACATCTTGTGTCGTATGTCGCAGGACCAATTTTATATAATGTTCAAGGAGCCAATTACATGTAGCTATATACAGCGTGTTTGGTAATACATGTATAATCCCGAAACATGGCCATACAACCTAGCACAAAGAACACAATTAATTTGTCAAAAAACAATTTCACGTAAATTGAGATTTTCATACAAATATTTGAACAATTTGTTTTCAATTAATATGCTACAACCCTGAAAGCTTACACGTGCCGTCCTGGGGTACTTGCTCTCTTTCTCATCACCTCTCACTCTCTCTCATTTTCTAGAATAGGTACACTTTGATGTCGCCGACGCGCGCACTCGACTGCCTATGAGTTTATTTGCAACAAAAAAAACATACGAAAATAGGTAAGCACCTATTTGATAGGTACTTACATAGTTTTCAGATATTTTATAACGAATAGTTCCAAAATTTATTATTTTCTAATTAAAACAATTTACGATTAAACGGTAGCGTTCTAATCACTCTTTCAGCTTTCACTTGTCAACATTACGTACGCTTCACCTCCACTTTATCAGTCCAGGGTCTCGATATGCCGGCCACCGCGTAAAACACATATCTCCATTCGACTCGACACAGACCGTGTTACTCTCGTAACCATTTGCGAGTCAGATTTTAATGTATCAAAATCTGCTACTATTCTGTCTCGCATTTCAGTTTCCGAATCACAGGACACAGCGTAAACCTCATTTTTAACATGACCCCATAAAAAAAGTCAAGTGGTGTCATGTCTGGAGATCGTGCCATGGCCCGGCACCGGACCGCCGCGACCAATCCACCTTCCAAACCGAATATTAAGATACTCGCGTACCCCACGTGCGAAATGGGCTGGTGTTCCATCGTGTTGGAATAAGAGCGAGCTGTAGATGCTCAGAGGAAGGTCATCTAACATGTCTTCCAACTCACCTCGCAGGAAAATTAAATAATTCTGGGCATCCAAATGATTAGGTAAAAATACTGGACCCAGAATTCGGTCACTGTTGATTATGTCCATTAAAAACTCCTTCTCTAGTGAAGGCGGCTTCGTCGGTTCACAATATGTTGGTGGCTCTTCCATCTTCCAAATCCATTGCGCGAATTGCACGCGCGGGCCAAAATCACTCGGTAGCGACTCGTGAACCTTTTGGTTATAGTGGGGATGCTGATAATCATTATGGAGAGTCTGCCATACTTTCCAACGACTGACCCCCAATACACGAGCACTACGACGAGTACTTCTTGTTGAGTCTTTAGCAAAATGACGTAATATCACATCCTCTGTGTTGGTGGAATAGGTGTTCGGCCGGCCTCCCTGTGGCACACTATGGAATGAACCAGTTGTATGTAACCGATTCACAAGTGCCGCGAAGCACCGGTAAGAAGGAAGACGTCGAGGGTTTTCAGATCTTCCTGACACGTGGCGCTGTCATAACGCCGCCGAGCCGCAGCAAGATTACCGTCATAAGCACCGCCACACATTATCATCTCGTAATATTAGGCATTTGAGTACGAACTCATTGCACTGACCGCGCACAAACACAACACACAGGTAAACAGAACGAGTATTAAAACCAAACCAAAGTCCCGAAAGAACGATAACGTAAGTTGACTTTCTAAACTCTGAAAATTCACGAATACGTCGGTGAAAGTCTCGGACGTGACTGAAGCGATGACCAAAACTACATAGGTAATTATTGAAACTCGAACACCAATGTTCCTAAATCAAAAGTGCACCGATTTAGGGTTCCGCGTCATCAAATTCTGTGTTAGGTAGGTACCTAACAAAATCGTTATCTTTTTATTTGATTAAACAATAAAACTTCAAAGTAACTTATTATACAATTTTTTTTACCGACGAAATTATTAATTAGGCTGTTTACTAATTATCACAATTTTATTTACGCTTTTCACGGTTACAAAAGAAAAAATAGGCCGTAATATTAAAAGTGGTTACCCAATTTAAGACCAAACTTAAGACAAAATTATAAGGCATAAAAATTCATAGATTAAATTAAAAAAGAAAAATATTATTTATTATTAGACATTTCCATTACAACTAACCTTTATTTAATTATCATTTATACTAAGAATTAGCGAGATATTTAGATTATTAATATCACTGAACAAGTTCGTATTTTATTGATTCGTGAAAATAATACTGCTTTATGAAATAAATAACAAAACTTCAAAGCAAATTATCTACAGAACCTTACCGACACATCGGACACCCGAATTTCTTAATGCACATCGTCGTCGATTCTATGTCTCTGTCGCTCCTTCTTGCATAGACTAATGTGAGCAATAGTGCAGATATCTAACTTCAACCAAAGTATTTTGCAATTTCTTTTTTATTTTGAATGTATTATTAGAGAAGTTTTCTTGATAGTAGTTTTTGAAGTACTGTTAATCACAAGATTGGTGTTCTTTTATGATTAAAAGTCACTTACTACTAAATTTTTCTTGGTTTTTGAATACATAAATTACTCTCAGATGCATATTTATTCTAGGCATTTATCTTTAGATTTATTTAACTTCTGTTATTTTTTAAACTAGTTCGGCACATGGAGTCAATGACCAAATGCAACACAACAACTGTTTTTAGGGTCGTCAACGTACAGTTTTACTTCGAAGAAAAAAAGCTAAATATCTAGGTCATGTGCTGGGTTTCAGACTTAATGATAATTTTTCTGGGTTCTATTCATTATACCGTATGTGCCATATTCGGGATTATACAGATATTATAAAACACGCTGTATAAATGCTAATGTAGCTAACATTAGCAGGCGAAGCCCTGACGGTCGATTTTTTTTAAATTTGCTATTGTCAATGCAAATTATCTATTATAATAGCCAAATCTGACTGACTTATATAACAAAGCACAGCTGAAATTGCTGTTCCTAGAAACTTGAAATTTGGTACAGGCACATGACGAAACTGAAGCGTTTAGAAACGATTTTTAGAAATTCAACCCCTGAGTGGTGAAGTTTATATGGATTACGCGGGCAAAACTACTGGTGGGAAACTCGTGTAAAATATAATGTTTAATGTTAATTTGCAAAAATATTAAAAACTAATATTCAATTTTTAAGATGAACAAGTTTGCGACGCCATGGGTGATGGATGAGATGGATGTGGTCAGGTCGTTACCGAACGACGAATTTAACGTAGACCACAATGAACATGAACAGGTGAGGAATCCATACTTCATCACCAGCTCATTCATTGGGTCCCATTGGTGGATGTTTACGTCCTAGGGATGCGTTTTAATTGTTTTTTATAATTGATGATATAAGTTTTCATCGTTCTTACAAGTGGTGGGGTTACTTACAAAACATACAACAGGCAAATGACCCATAGGTCATTTGCCTGTTGGGGAATTATAATATATTTAATTATAATTAATTATTTAATTTAATTTAATTATAATATACATTAGGGAAATAAAGTGGTGTGTTTATTAAAAAGTACCTCCTACCATAACATTAAATCAATAACAAAAATATAGTTTAGATAAAAAAACGGTCAAAATAAAATTGGAATAAATATGCAATTACTGAAAAAACTTAGTTCTGTATATCTTAATTTTCATTAGTAGTAAAAACTTGTAATATATTTTAATGAGTTTGATTTGTCACTAGGTCGAGAGCAAGAACAACTTCTTGGAGTTGGCGAGTCAACGGTTCGATGATGAGTGAGTGTATAATATATTACTGTTTGTGTGCAAATTGACAATTTCACTCTCAGATTCGGAAATCTACGTTCAATATGGCCTACAGATTCGTACTCGAAAAGCATCCTGGACCGGCTAGTAGAAAGGTTGCTTTACAAAATTAACTCTCCCCAGGTAACCGCCCAACAGAAAACAATAGTGCTGTGATTGTTTGAAGTGTTTATTTCCATAACAAATTTGGTAAAATATTTGGAATTGTAACAACCTATTGCGATGCTTTAGATCTCGATATCTGCGTATTTACATTTGATTTTACTGTTGACCCGTCAATGTTGTATCGAGGCTTATCCAACTAAAGCAGTCAATTACTTTTTTTCTACAGCTAAAAAGTAAACTGTCACTATCAAGAATTCGTTTTTCCATCTACACTTTGACCATAAACAAAAAATTAAATATTTTTATAGAGTTGCACAAGTCGAGTTCCTAAACAAATGAACCGCTTTTTAGATAAGTATTTTTTCGCTTAAGAAATTTGGCCTTTAAAACTCTGTTCTTTTAAAATTAAATATTTTAATTTTATTTTCGTGCAGGGTTTACTTTCGTGCCGCCTACTTTACTGGGAGTTTGAATCTTACCGTACTATATTAAAATCTATATTTCAAGAGTGTCTGTACTCGCATGCTGTCGGGCTTTATTTTTGCGCAGACGAAATTTGCGGATGCAAATTATAAAAATGGTAGCAGGATAAACGTGTTGTTACGATTGTGTGTTCAGCGTGTGGGAGGATTCGCCGTCCGAGGAGGGCGCGGATATAGAGAGTGACGTCATACTGCAGGCCAGAGAAGTCCTCGCGCAACCCTCGCGTGAGTACATACTTCATACGTTACCGCAGTACAGATTTTAATTTTGTCAAATTATAGCATTAACAATAAATGCTACTTTTTTTTGCAGTTTTCCGTGATTAAGTTGTTAATAGTTATGTTGTGATAGGTTATTAAAACAAATTGGCTTTAATAATGTTTATTTTATTTTCTATGAAATTGAAATGGAATTAACTTATTTGTTTGTCTAATATAATGTTGTTAATCAATAGTTTTGTCCTGTTAATTCTGCATATTTATTAAAGTAATCATTATACAATGTTCTGAAGGAAATAATAGTTAAAATGCCTAATGCATTTTCAGCGTGGGAGAGCAGCGGCGGTGCATTGGAGGGCGATGGGAGCGGGGCGGGGGGAGTGGGGGGCGCGGGGGCGCGCGAGGGGGAGGCGGGCGGGGGCGGGGGCGGCGCGGGGGGCGAGGGGTGGGCACAGTTTGACGCGCCCGCACACGACGATCATTTCTGGCCGTACACGCAACGTATGTATCTCGTCACATGAAACGTTCGTTAATAACAGTGCCGATCGACATTCAGAGCGGAGGCGGAGCGTTCCAGAGAAGACGATATTAATTGCCTGCAAAAATAAACGGTGTCATTATTTTTAAGGGTCGACATATTATGACGGTGTTTTAATTGAACGATCCTATATATTTGTCCAGTAATAATTGCAAAATTATCGTTCATCTATTTCCTCGTGTAAAACTAGTTAAAATCCGGAATCTTATTAAATCATCATATGCGGATTCTTATATCATATAACCACCAAACCGATCACCGCTTTAAAAATATCATATCAAGTCGACATTCGATATTTTTACGGTGTTTTTTTTTTTTATAGAAAACACATCGCACGATGATATCGAAGAGAATATGCGCAATCTACAACTGGAAAACGATTTCTCGAGACTGGAGGGGTCCAGCGTGGAGTTGGCCAACAAACTGTTGACCGCCATGAGCTCCATGCCCCCGCACCTGCTCGCCTCCCTCGTCTCCCCCGCCTCTCCCGCCCCCGTGACCCCTCCGGTCCCCGATGATAAATTGGACCCCTTCGAAGATGACTTCGTGGCGAAAGAGACCCCTGCGATCGTCGAAGAAGCTACGACGGAACAGAAAACTGACCCTCCGTCGATCGATGGAAGTAAATCTGAAGAGAAGAGCCCTGAACCTCGGAAGGAAACGGAACCGAGCGAAGATCCCGCGCAGCGAGCCGAAGAAACTATCCCCGAGACTCCCTCCGTCGATGCGCCGCTCGAAAATTGTTCCGCGCCCGCGACCGAGTGCTCCGACGACCGGAGATGATCGCTCGTGGTCCCCTAGATCGCCCCCCGCCCCCTCCCCTCCCCCTCGCCGTCCCCTGGTCCTCGATGCGGCGCCCCTGGCGGCCGTCGACGGCGACAGTGATCCAGCGAAGAATACGTATTCGTGATTAGGCAATTCGCAGTTGATGTCGTTTTAGTTAATTGTATATATATATATACATAAAACAATATCAAATAAAAAAATATCTGTTTAGAAAAAGACGAATGATTACGTTCGATTCGATCGTGACGTTTCGTTAGATTTATAAAGTCGTCCGTTCATTAGGAGTTCAATCTCGCTCCCGAGATCGCGATGTGATAAAGATATTGTACATTCACGTTCATTGCGATGACATATTTTAAAATTTATTTATGGCATGAAGCAGTCATTTAACATACAGACACCAAGGTTTTGTAGTATTCGTTTATGTATATGTAGCACTTAATTATAAACGTATCACTTGTGGCGAGATTCGATTTCCCTGATTACTTCTCCTCGATGTAATCAGTTTTTTCCTTTCAAATACAAAGATATCACATTGTATAGATGTGCAATAATTAGTATGTACCGGTGGTATTCAGTGATTTACTTTTTTGAGAATATCTTTAGATATACCCAGTAAATTGTTTGTTAATCTGATATTTCGTCCACCCGACATCTGAACACACCGAGCCATCACCGAAGCGTTTCAATTAAATATAGTTGTGGTTTGTTGTTGTACGTCCGAAGCGATCGAATCGAGCCTCGCGTCAGCATCTGTCGTACGCTGTCTTAGTGTGGATATGACGGTCCCATATGATAACTCACAGACCGAGTCATATACCTACTCCGATTATGAGTTATCGATTACGATAATAGTTTATTATTAAGTAAAGAGAGATGATGAATTGTTTTAATATAGGACGACGAAATTATTTCATTCCTTCTCCTTTGAGAATTAGTGCAATATATTGTTAAGGCGTCGACGACGCGGCCGACACGATCTTGCTCGAGGAATTGCGACAAACGAACATTGACCTCTAATTATATATAATTATTGTTTTTATAGTATTATAGCGATGTTAGTACATAAACATTAGCACTTGCTGCGAATCAAGAATATTACATTCGAGATAACGTTTCACGACTCTGTCAATTAGGAAGGTTGATTTGCACATTTTCGTTTGATACAAATCCTCGAATAGCAGTACAGTCGACGTCAAATATTAGGTGATGGTATTATTTTGAGATACAAATAAATTAATGGATAGAACAGCTCGATAAACATTTTTTAAACAATCAGAGAATCATCTGTACTTATAATTCTTGTTACTTGGGATTTATTGCGTAGTTTAGTTTGTCGTCTGTACCGTGCCTATGTATATGGCGTCACCTGTACAGGGGACGTTAAAATGTTGATTATTTTGTAACGATCTGTGGCGGCGATATTATCTTTTGTACCCTTCATAATTTGTTTGTTGACATTGAAATATTTGTTTACGGGAATTGTTTAGTCGTCCCACAACAGCGCCCTCTATATTGTATCCGAATGTGAAGTGTCCTTAGATGTTATAAACGATTGATCGATTTTAATTTATATATATTTTTAATTTTATATTTAAGATTAATAACCTTTTGTACTAATGCATTTTGGAATAATCTTATTTATTGTTATCTAAAATGGTGCGGTGTTGTTGGACGATCAATATGTCACAGTGATCGGTATAAGAGGTTATGTCTGATCGCGCCTCGTCCGCGCCAGGTAGTGTAAGTATTGTTAAGGCATATAATCACACAGTAAAAGTAATTTGCCTCTGTTCGGCTCGTTCTATGGATTAAATACGAGTTGGAGTTTTTTTTTATCTTCAGATTAAAACGAAGTTAGTATTATATCAATCGGTTAGCATTATTACAATCAAATTCAATTTTGTAATTAAGTTGTATATATCATCGGATACAATAAACATATTGAGTATTGAGTACTACAACATATTTGGGTATGACCAAACCCCTTACTCTCGAACGCGATCGCGACCGACTGGCATCGCAATTGTGCCGTTCGGCATTTCCGCGCGCGGCCATTTTGTCGAGATGCGCACTAGTACGCAATATGGCGGCCGACAATACAAAGGTTAGACAACAGGCATTAAATTTCAGGAGTGGGGGCTCAGTGAGTCACAACTATATAGAAAATGTACAAAGGAGTGACATGCGACATTTCAACTCAATCCTAATGAGATATATAACTTAATACCATGATATACAGGCGATATCAGATAATAGCATTACGACGTCACAATTACATTAATGGTCTCATAAAAACAAACAGGGTTTTTTTAAATATAAAATATAAATGCCTTATATATGATGAACAGTTTTTTTGCAACATTTATAATTCGACGTGTTTATATTCATCATAACGTGTACATCGAGCCGTTGGCTGTTCGCAAATAATTTAGTAATAAAATATAATAATAGTTATCGGTATTGTACGATATTATAACGTATATGTCGTACGGTCGTGTTCCGCCGCGAGTACACACCGCGAACGTTCACCCTTGTATTAAGTTAATGTGGAACGTCAAGATTTCGTTATTTCTGTACGCCAACAGATGGCGTTCTTATTTATTAGTGAAAACCGTAATTCGATTATAATAATATGCTTCGCGCTTATTGATTAATTTTTTATTTTAATTATAAGATTGTGAATCTAAATTCAAGTGACTTTTTATAAATTTGCATAAATCTATGGAATAATACATTCATAAATAATATTACTGTTATCATAAAAGGGTATGGACATTTTCATTGTTGTCAAAATCTTAATGTAGCAGCACTGGCGCCATCTGTTGCCATTCATAAGTAATGAAACTGTTACGTCACACATTAGCATTGTGATATACTTACGCGTAGAGTTCGAGATCCTGTCTCCATATTTACTACAACTCCGACCGGACAACTCGATGACGTCATATAGTATTACAAGATATTGGTTTTGGTATCGCTCAAATGTATAGACGCCATATCGTATTATTATATCAGTTAACATATCTCGTATCTCGTAGTTGCAAACTGTAGTAACAAGATACGTGGACGTCACTCGGGCTGGACATACATAGCCACTAGAAGATCTCAATTGAGTAACTATAGATAGTTATTAATTATCATTAATCGACTCCCTGTTGATTCGTCGATGTTTTACTAGAGCCAGGCTCTAGCTAGTTTGTTAACTGTGTATGCATACATTATTGTTTGATGATTTGTTTTATAATTCATAAAACTTCAAAAGTGATGTCAGTGCCGAGTCGATATCGTTGTCGATAATAATTATTTAAAAAGTCCGTTTTGAGTGTACAAATTAGTGTTATTATATTGTATGATATATCGGTTCTGTATCGGTCGATTTGTATGTAAAGGTTATATAAATTGTGGGATTACACCTAAGGGCAGAGCGCGGGTGTGCAATTGCGTATCGTTCCGGCTACTCGGCGGCACGTCTTATTCACATTTCAATGTTTCCTAAACATATTGTAAATTCATATCGTAACGTTTAATTTTGTGAATGTGTACGAATGTTCGCGAGCGATTGGACCTCATTTTTTCATTGATTAAAATTCTGTAGTCTGTAGAGCATTATTTAATATTTGACGTACTTCTTTAAAGCAATCTTCGATCGTCGAGTAATAGTAGTAGTAAAGAAAAAGTAATGATCTTTGGGCTGGCGAAAGACACGTTATTACTTAAAAAAATATCAAATTGTAGGCGTAGGACAGTTTCGTTTTTGGATCGTTTGTATAATTAAATAGTTTTCTCGATGCTTCGACCGTTCGCTATGAAAATAGTACTACATACAGTAGATAGTCGAATTCGAACCTTCGTCGTTGGACGTTAAGGTCGGTCGGATGGTGCTATCGTATGTACCGTTGTGTATTCGTGTCTAGGTGTTAGTGTCGCTCGTGTCGATAGCAGGTGTTCAGTGCACGGACTGAACTGTGAGGGAAGTAGAAATTCACGCCATCACGATTCATTAGTTCTTTCTTATTACAGAACACAGATATATGTCAGAAAAGGGCGGGGCCGCGGGTTACGAGCTAATGTGCCTGTGTACTAGCGCGACCACTATCCAACTATTATTATAAACACTATTGCGTTTGTTTGCGTCGTAGTGCAGTAGAGGTAGCGGTAGAAAGTTGATTGCGGTATCGACCTGTTTCTGTGTTCTGTGGTTTGTATACTTGGTAAGATCATCGCCGGCGGGTGATGCTATTCTTTAAACTGTAAATTTCGTTTTAATTTTCTTCTTAAAGCGAACAAAACATCAACTTTAGTGAGAACCAGTAGCTAGCGCTAGGTGGGCTTTTATTCGTGATGCACACATCGCCATGCCAGGGTTACTAACGAGATGTCACATTTCCATATTTCATTTTTAACTCTGCCTTCAATGAACTAAGGCTTCAATTTTAATGGAATATATTGCCAGCGTCGTTATGACCTGACATGCTGTTGATTGTACGTCACTGTAGCATGCTGTCTCACATTCGCTTATAATCTCGATTTTATTCAATGAAATAAGAATTTATTACTTTAAAGAATAGTACCGCTCTTATCTTAGTACAAATTCTTTAGTTTTTAATACTTAAGTATATATTTTTCTGATGTGGCTTAAGAAATATTGTGAATCGCGTGGACCAATACGCATCCTGTTAATGTGAGCGGCATTCAGTTGGCGTGCGGCCCCCGCCCCCGCCTCCGCGGAGCCCTGGCGCTCCTTAAACTTTGTATTTATAGTTGTTAGAGCATTTAAAGCTGTGAACCTTTATCTATGGTATTAGTGCAATTACTTATGTCACCGAATAAAGAATAAAGTTTGAGAGCGAATATATTACATCTTATATAATGTACATTTTTAAATAATGAATTCCAATTTAGGGTGGTACTTCTAAGAGCTGGAGCCGATATCGATATAGATATTGTGACGAGCATCACTAGCTTCCGGTGCCGATTTTCGAGTTCCTAGTGAAAGGGATAATCTCAATCGCACATAGCGACCATAGTTTTGTGTGTAGAAATGTGTATAATTTGAGAAGTATCGTTCAAATTATCGGGAGTTATTTGCGCTCACTTCCAGTTGCGAATAGTCTGTAAATGATGAATTGATTCAGCTTAAACAATGTACAAGTTCTGGTACCAAATTTTTATATAAAAATACAATTTGTATATGTACATATACATATTATTATACTTAACCAGTCGGCCGAGGCGATATACGACATGTCATCTGATTGTATGTCCATTGAATTTGTAAAGATTTTATGATATCGCAATAATAATACTGCTGAGTTTTGATTGCTATTATGATTCGGGATTTGAATTTCACTAATGCAATCATATTTGGCGCCCGTGTCGAGTGTGACTGTCAGTGATCGACCGACTTTGCTTACACATCAAATATCGTCCGTGGATTTTCCATGGAATGCTTATTGAAAATATTAGTTAAGTTTGTATTATTATGTTATAATTTTTTAATCTTTGTTTTTCGTATAGAAAAATACTTAAAAAATTCAATCGACTCAGATGCTTTAAGCTGGTAGGTGGGTTAAAAACTTGCCTTTCGTTAAACGGCGAAAGTTCGTGTTTTTGAAGAACTTATCGGTATACTTTATATTGACGTTGTTCAGACCGCCGTACGGCAGCCTCGGTACGGCTCAGAAGTATAGTAGTTTGGTCACGGGCAAATAATACCAATGATATATAATTAATTATGTCTATTTTACCGCTTTTAGCGTCGTCTTTCATACATCTTAAAAACTTAAAAATGTATTCAGAGGACTGATAATTTTAAATGTGTTTTCTAATGGTACCTTTGCCCCTGGTCCATCGACATTGTAAATTTACGATATGTATATAAATATATAATATAAATAAGAGGTGTACTAGTGAAAATATATTTAGAGTTTTGTATCAGTCGAGTGTGATAGAACTTGTGATCCTTTTTACGCTGTTTCGGTGTCGCTTCCTTCTTCCAACGCATCGTCTACTGTACAGGACTTGTATGTGATATATTGGTATATGTCAGACATTATATATGTAACATCATAATCAAATCACCATTGTCGTGTGTCTATATGTATACTGTACTTGCTAATAATATACACGTTACAAATTTCGATTCGAATTAACAGACTGGCTCGTATTTGTATGACGTCAGATGATTTTATACAACCGTGCAGTTGGTGTGGGATTAAAATTGACGTAGCATTTTGCACATTATTCCTATTAATTGTAAGGAGCGACATATTTGAATTTCGATCGGTAACTAGTAATTAAAATAACCGATATTCGGTTTATCATATTTAAATAATTTTACATTAACCCTGCTTTATCGATTTTTATTTTAAAGAAAACTTCCTAAAATTTTCTCTCTTTTATCGGTTTTACATAGAAAATAAAGCTAGTGTTTTACTAAAGACGTTACAAACTCCAAGGAACAGCAATAGCTAAGTTTTAGTCTCACTTACCCTCGCCGGTTTTTATATACATTCATATTCACAAAGTGACACTTCATATATGCAGAGATAAGGTCCTTTATAACTAGTTCTCGGGTACTCTGTAATCGGAGCTGTGTCAGCTACCCGCATTTGCATTGTCCCGCTTCGTCTACCATATCTGCGTCGATGAAGTTTCAAATTTAGACAAACGTAGCGTTGTATATTTAGCAAACGTAACCTACTGTTCGGTCGAGATGAAGTATCTACACTGAACATAATCATCGTATCATCCATCACCAGCTGTAGTAGTATTAGTATTGTATAATAATGATACACTTGTAGTTATCGACGAGCTTCACTGCGGTCGCTCGTCGCTGGCTTAAGGTTATGTTTTTTTTTGTCTATGTATGATTTTGTAACGAAACCGTGTCGTTCCTTGAATCAGCTGTACGGTTTGTCTAAGTTGTGTAAATAGTCGTGTAGGTCGCGTACTTGTTGTGGACGTCATGCGTCATGCGTCACGCGGCGGGCGCGTGCGCGTGCGCATGTCGGCCGCTCCACCAACGAGAGTGTGCCTTCCGGGCGGTGCACGGCGCGGGCACATCCACCCTTCACTGCACCACGTACGTCAGCACTACTACGATCCATTGAAAATTACATATTTGCATAAGTAATACGTATTATGTTTTGTAAGAGAAAAAGAACTGAATGTTTCGATACTGTTAAATGCAATCCATGACCATAGATTGTCTATAAACCTGAGTCATACTCGATGTTTTATTAATGTGGGCGTACAGGTCATGGGTTTTTCAATGGATTAGTTGCTCCCGAGTCCCTTCCGCGACCCTTTATCCGCTCCGTCCCCCACCACCTTTCCCCCTCTAGGAGGCTTCCTTCCCATCTCTTCCCCTCCCCCCCACCGCGCCTGACACGCTCGAGACATAATAAATGCTCGTAAATTGTATTCTTATTGTATTTATATCATAGTTAAAAAGTTTTTATTAAAAAAGTTGCTCAATACGTCCGTGTTTATCTAGTTCCCTTACCCCTTACGAGAGATGAAATGAAACTTCAGTAATAATATTTTGGTATAATTTTATTTTCATAATTTATTTATATATAATGACTATAATCATCTACCAAACTAAATAATCAATATAATTCAACAGCATCCTTTATATACAATATGTATAGTTAATAGTTTCAATAATTTCCTCGTTTTCGAACGATTAAAAAAGAGACAGTCGTCTAATCCATACAAAATAATGTTGAAATTAACTACGATTATTACAGATTAACAAGTAATCATTTGCCACAAGTTTTATTATTTATTTACAAATTCTTAACATTAATTTAGTCCCATAATTTCCAAATGAATCGTCAGCGTTTGTATGGAACCATCGCGGGTTGCGTGCGGTCGCGAACAGAACGTGCGATGCGACCACAACTCGAACTAACTAACGATCGAACAAACTTAACGCTCGAACCGCACCGGCCCCGCCCGCCCGCACGCCCGCACGCAGCACGCGTCCGGCGGCGTGCGAACCGGGCCCTAACCGACCGACAGAGACTGAGCGACGGTTTACCATCTATTTCATGATTTATATGGAATTAGATTATAAATGGAAATCAACAAGTAAGTTTGGTTTTCATCGAGCTCGTCGAGTTTATCGCTGACGCAGGACACGTAGACGCATCGTGCGAAGGGGCGGGGCTGGTGACCTTCGGGAATATAAATAAATATCTGATAAACTATGACATTTAATTTGCAAACAACGATACTTAACGCGTATAATTATTTTAAATATACAATAAGAACTTTCGGATGCTAGCACTCGCCTATTCGGAACGGAGGAGCTGGAAGGTTAACTATGATGAGTATGTATGGGGGATGACGCACGTCGCCGACGTTTCGCGTACGACTGTCATTTAGGAATGAACGAACTACCTAAAACGTCGAAAACTAGTCGCGTCTCAAAAACTATGCCGTACCAGACATGCGCCGGCTGTATTTGATATACGGTAGGTTGATATATTAGAGTGATATGCGGCGACCGTGAACATATCGTCGCGATCGTCGTTGCAGCTATAAAACCCGGTAAATTCCGATACGAAAATATCCTCTCGTTCTAACTCTTCTGTACCAAAATAATCTGGTTAAAATGCGGCCCACCACTGCAGCGTTGCCGCGGTCCGAGTACTACCTAAACACGATCACGACTCTCCATACTAACGTAACGTAGGTATAAAACAGCATCAGCGGTGCAATCGTTTGGCATCCCATAATATACATATATATCGCTGGATGTATGCTAAGTATAGGAAAGAAGAAACAGAGCTAGCATCTCTATAGAAGAGTTAGTATAAAAGTCGAAGCTTAGAAGGCGAGAGCGGGACTCCCCCGCCGCTACCTCACCGCTCGCGTCACCCGCACTACCTACTACCCACCAAGTTTATTTATATACACAGGTATCGGAAAGAATATACAGAGTGATTTGCGCCATCGATGTACAAACTTGAATTTGAAATGCACATTTTTGTCTTTTATCCATTCAAATTATTTATTATTAAATGCATCACCGAAAGGACGTTTAAATTTGACTGACAGGAAAAGTGATGTCGTTTATATTTTTTTTTTACAATTACAGATGGCGAGATATGATGTATATAGCGGGGGCTCGGGGTCCACGCGAACCGACGACTCCCGTCGGACCGGAAGGAAAATTTTACAAAACTTCGTTAACAAATTTCCTTAAAGTAAAACGATCTACGATGACGTCATTCGATCGACTATTATTTTTTGTAGCCGAGATCGCGTTCCGCTCAGACGTTTCCTCAACATCGCGATCGATCATATCACCGAACGGACGAAACGAGATCACAGCTCGTTTCACTTTCAGAAAATTTCGTACCAAAGAGACGGTCGGAGCGCGGCCACAGAGCGGGAACAAAAATTATTGTCATCCAATTCTTAAATTTCCGGCGGTCATCGGTTTCCGTTCACTCGATACCGCACAGACGACCGCCCTCCTCGGCTTCGGCCGCGATCACCCGCGATATTTTCGCGGGACGTTCTCCGAAGCTCAGATCGACGGCTCGGGGACCGATCCCGAGTTCGGGACGGGTTCTCCGCCCGAGCGACGCCGCGCTCGTTCGCGGGCGGCGATCGATTCACACGGACCGGGGGGAGATCGGGGCGGTTCACAGCTGGTACCACTTCTTGTCCTTGTACTTGAGCATGAGCTGGTGCGCGGAGGAGGAGAACTCGGCGGCCTGCGAGTGCATCCGCTCGGTGCGGTCCTCCAGCTGCGACAGCTTGTCCCCGCGCTCCAGCACCAGCTGGTGCGCGCGCGCCACCTCGCCCCCCGCGTGCGCCGCGCGCGCCCCCAGCGCCTCCACCGCCCCCGCCCCCGCGCCCGCCCCCGCGCCCTGCACCACGCGGGCCACGGCGCGGTTCGGCTTGCCGCTGCTCTCTCCGACTGAAAGGATATTTTCCGTTAAGTCACGTTATCGCGTGTGAATGAATACCTACCTTTTAAATTTGACAAAAAACTTCTCACTTCTTAAAATCGTAATACAGAGAAGCGACTAAAAATAAGAAATAATACCATAAATTTTTATCTTCAATAAAATCAAAACACAGAAAGTGACTACATGGACATTTTTTTTAGGTCAGTGCCAGTCGTGTGATTAGTAAAAAGTAAAACAGCATTATCAGAAAATCTATTTTTCTCTTACTACACATGATAATTTTCTGGCAAATATCTGGCACCGACCACAAAAAAAAAATCGTTGGTGTATCCACTTTTTGTGTTTTGATTACATCATCACCCCAGCCCTTTTTACGTCCCCACTGCAGGGGCTCAGGCCTTCCTTATGGATGGTTAAGGAGGATGGGCCATGACCCTCCACGCTGGCCCAATGCGGATTGCAGGGTATTCACCACTGCAAATGAAGCCGGGACCAACGGCTTAACGTGCCTTCCGAAGCACGGAGTAGCTCGAGATAATAATTTTTTGGTCATCCATCCCGTGACCGACCCTTGCGAAAGTTGCTTAACGACTACGATCGCGGGCCGCGGCGCTTATCCAATACGCCACCGAGCTACTTTGATTTAATTAAAGAAAAAATTGATGGTAATATTTCTCAGTTTTTTTCAGTGGTTTCTCTTTATTACGATAATATGAAGTCGGTTTAATTTGTTTGTAAATTAATTTTTCATTTTTGTCCTAACTTACTTACTTCTAACTTGTAATAAATGGACACGTCTGTATTTAAAACATAATTATATTTACCCGATATACATTTTCTGTGATGATAGCAGTGCCGAATTAAGCCAGAGCGGGGCCTGTAGCGTTTGCTACTTTTGCTACGTGGCTAACCGGCCCTGTTCCAAACTTACCTAACGCCACTATTGAAGTTATTCGTTTTTATTGGGGCGCAGTAAATCTATCAAAATTACACACATCAACATCGTCTAGGGATATTTTGTATAGAGTTCTAAATTCAAAAAATACTGGCCGGTTTTAAAATTTTTTGATGAAAACTTGTTTTGTACGCCTTTTTTGATGATTCCAAATTTGAATTTAAATAGAATAATTTCAAACAAAATATTTGCGCGGCATAATTGAAGCAAATTCGAAGTATTCAATTTACCTACCATAGTTTTTGAAGATTTTTTGTATTAATTGAAAGTTTTGAAACAAGTTAGCTGTTTAATTTGAATTTGTGCTACTGTATGTATTATGCAGCGACGCCATTTAATAAGAGAGGAAATGTAAAGGGCAGTAAGCATGCTCCAAGTTAGGGCTACTCAACGGAGTATTGCTGAGGACATCGGAACAAAACAAAACGTGATATCACGGTTATGGTCACGTTATCGTACTACAGGTGAAGTGGCTGAAAGACACCTAGGCGGGAAGCGCAAAACCACCCAACGACAAGACCGATTTTTACAAATTGCTGCGAGAAGGCAACATGTTACGTCCATGCAGTTGGTTCAAAGGTTCCAGTCAGAGCACCAATTGCTTGTAAGTGACCAAACTGGGAGGAGAAAATCTTGAATCTTCATGCTCGCAGACCGCTTTGTACTCCTGCACTACGCCGAGGAAATCGTGGAAGAAGATTACAGTGGGCTCGTGAACATTTGCTCTTGGAAGGTAGCCAGTGGTCTGTAGTGTTGTTTATCGATGAGTCCCGATTCAGTTTTCATCCTGATTCGCGAAGAGTACGCGTATGGCGAACTCCTGGTCGTGAGATCCGCCTGCACCACCCTCAGGAGTCCATCCATACTAAACTATTTGGGATATAGTTAATTAAAACAAGTATTCACGGTGGCTTGTATATTGCGAATGAATGTGGTACACAGGTCCTACCTTATTATATACAATATTAATAATTATCAGATTACCTACATTACTACACATACCATGGCGGGATGTTTATGGTTTGGGTGGGAATTCGTGTTGGTTGCAGAACAGACCTCGTTTGGATCAGAAACACCATGACCGCTGAAAAATACCTCAACCAAGTGCTAGTACCAATACTCTACCCACATCGACTACATACGGGTCAAGAATTCACGCTCATGCACGACAATCCTCGTCCCCACGCAGCGCGAGTGGTCACCAGCTGGCTGCAGGAGCACGATGTATCGGTCTTAGACTGGCCCGCGCAATCACCAGACCTAAACCTAATAGAACACGCGTGGGACATGCTACAAAGAAGGGCTTTGAGGAATTTACCTACAAATATTGTCACTGAAGAGTAACTTTTTTTGCATCTTTCCAGGACCTGGCACAATATCCCGCAGTAAGACTTTGATAAGTTGATTCGAAGCATCAAAAATCGTTGCAGGACCATTGTTAACGTCATGGGTGGTTTTACTGACTTTTGATTATCGCAAAATTGCAAATAACGGAATAATTTCGCTATATTTTTCACTTTTTCTTGAAAAAGACATTTATCGTTATTTTCACCATTATTAAACTTTTCGTCTTTACTTAAATAATTTATTTTTAGGTACAAAAAATATTTATGTTTTATTCTATAATCTGCGCTAATAAATGGGCTTTATAAATATATAAACATATTGTATGTTATTCAGAAAAAAAAAACTGAGAAAATTAAGAATAATGAAAATATCCCTAGATGATGTGTGTACATACATATAGATCAAATTGATACCTATTTCTTTTAAGGTCGGTGAGAAGCGTACAGGTGAAATTGAGAAACTCAATTTTATTTCGATAAATGACGTACATACTTAGGTAAACTGATGGCCTCCTTTTTTGAAGTTGGTTACTCACAGAGTTCCTCCCTGTCGAGAGTTCGGGACACGCCCCCGAATAATCCCCGGAAGAAGCTCTCCTTGGGCGGCTCCGGCATGTCTCGCGGCAGAAACAGTTCCCCCATCATCTCGTTGAGCTGTTGACTGCAATCACACAACACCCCTTCCCTGTTTCACTCATTATTAAGTAAGGATTTCTTTATGTTTTCTCTATCAGTGTTATTAATAATCAAAGTTTTGCGTTGGAGTACATTCACGCTGAGACTACACTTAGTATTAGTCGAAATTCATATTATTAAACAGATTTAGCAAAGGTTAACCTAGTACGAGGTTCTACGGGACTAATATTTGCTCCTAGAAGGTATTAGGTTTCCTTATTGTATGTATAATATGAATTTGGACTAATAATACTAAAATAGTTTAGCGGAAATTTACTATGACGCTAAACCTTGTTTATTAATAGCACAGTTTTATTGTTATAGAATAGAATGGTCATGTAGCTACATAGTATACTTATTATTAAAATGCGTGTATTGGATTGTAAGTGTTGACACGAACTTTATGTTGAATGCGAATGTTTTTATGATACATCCAAGCAGGTAAATTATTAGGAAAACTAATTTAAATGTGACGGTTATTATCGTTGTGGATGCTATACTATTATAAAGCACGTTTTAAATAATGTTCCATATCGAGTCTGTTACTTTTTATTATTCTTTCATTAAAGAAGATGAACCACGCTCTATTACATAGTTTACCCCACAAGTAGTCTATGCGTCACAGTTAAATTTCTCTATCAATATTTTATTCAACAATAAGAATAAACAATTTTTGTGTCGCATCATTTATCGTAAAATAACTAGCTTTTTTCCATTACTATATATTTGTGCCTTTTTCATACAACTTTTGGAATAACAAATTCTATTATTGTTTTTTTATCAATAATGCATTCACAATGCCATACTGGAAAATATTCTTAATGAAATATACCGAAAACATAAAGGTATCAAGTGCTTGAAAAATTCGTCAGTCCTGTCCTTGGTCCTGGGTAGCTCAGTGGTTATGGTAGTCGTTCGGATTGCAAAAGTCCCATCTCAGATTACCTGAGGCCGGGGGATTTTTTAAGCATTTTTCATTATAAAAATCAAATAAAAAATACGATATTTTTTAGAAAGAATTTCTTACCTACTATTTAAATACAGTCATCTCCATAATATCAGTCTCATGATGTCTTATTTTACATATTCAAACACAAAACGACTTTCGAGGCAGTTCTAGATTTTAATTTATTTACTTATTTGTTACCTCCATAAAATAACTGATTTACTTTCGCGGGGTTAATCATCACTCAGGTTAGAAACAGCCTCAAGTAATATATGAGCATCATCGTGTCTTACCAGAACTCTGCGTCGATGGTGAACTTTTGTATTTCACTGGGAGAGGCGAGGTACAGTCCGTGGCCGCGGTTACTGAAGCAGAAAGTCCGCGCTATCCTGCAACACCACCCGCGCTACTCGTTATGCGATACCACTCACTCCAACGCCATCTATGCCGCGCACTCGTTATAAAATTCCAATTAGCCATTTTTAGGTGAAATTTCTAAAGGTCATTAATCTGTGTTGGTATTTTGTTAAGATTCCAAATACATATATTAATTAAAATTCAATGAGGGCCAACGATCAATTAATTGTCCTGGAGATCTAGCTTTTAAGTTCAATTATTATTAAACTTCTGATAATTTATCTTAAAATTGAGAATCTCACCTCGTAATTCCTCCGTTCCTTCATGAATACTATGAGACAAAATTAATTTCTAACATATAAGCGCTAACATTTACTATGAACATGTATTTGATCTGAAGTCTCTAATTCAGTCATATCTCTAAATACGATGAAAGGAAATCGAAAAGATCCACATAGATCACACAAAACTGTCAACAAGCGTTCATGCTGAAAGCATAGATCAGATCTGTAGAGAGTGGAGCAAAGAAAAGAGAGCGAGTGAAGCCGTTACAGTGGACGGTCGGTGTGTGTGAGTGTGTGTGGTGTACGTGTTGTGTCGCTGGACAGGGGAGGGGGGACGCACAAGATATCGTCGGACAGTAGGGAATCTATTCAAGCAGAATCGCAGGCAGCCGTAAAGGTTCAGGGCAAATCGTCCGGACCACGCCGGTTCCCTGGAGTAATCGAAATCGTATCCGGCATCATATCGGGGCTGTCCGGACGATTTCTCCTGAACCGACTATAAGGTATGTAGACAGAACGGGGAGGGGTCGGAAGCGATCGTGAACGAAACATGAACAGACATGTCTAAGGAACGCAACAGAGGCCGGAGCGAGCGACTCCACATGACAAGTGACGGCACGAGGCTATCGTATCTGGACGGTCACTTACTGGTCCGTGTCCTCGTTTACAATGAGTTGTTGACCCCAAATGGAGAGCATTGGGTCTACGATACCCCTCTGTTTGGTCTGTGTCTGGAAGCTACCAGGAACACAGACATCGTCAGTGTGATGCGGTACCGAGCGCTCGCCGCCCCCCGCGTCGCCGGCGGGGGCGGGGGCGGGGGGCGCGCGCTCGGGGGCTGCGGGGGCGTGCGGGGAGCTACCGGGCGCCGGGGACATACAGCTATCGGTCGGTGGGGGGGCGAGCGTTATGTACATCGGCGTCTACCGGTCGTTCTGGCACCGAGGGTATAGAAACGAGTGGTGTGTTCGAGTGGTGTCGGGCATCGTTCGGTCGTTGTCAAATCAAAAATAGATAAAGAGTGCCAAATATCGGAAGCACAGGTGGTGCTCGAAAGAGTTGCAAAATTTTGTCTACTCTGTGATCGGAAGTAGGACGACGTCAGCGTCGGCGGCGGAGTGCGGCGGAGTACATATCCGAGTAGAGAGCGACGCCGCGCTCGCTCGGCGCGGCCCGTGGGCCCGTGGGTTCGTGGGCCCGTGGCATCGTGGGCCCGAGGGCCCGTCTGTCGTCACGCTCGCCCGCTAGAGCGAGAGACGGCCCGCCCCGAGCGAGCCTGCGATACTAACATCTATATCGGTACAGAAACTCATGTCGGGAGGCTCCCAAATGATAAAGTAGCGAATGATCACAAATAAAAATGGTTCTCGGTGGATGATCGAACCGTGAATGCGAAAAATCATACGATGATATTTGACCGTTCGGTCGGCTGACTTTCTTTCAGTGAATAGAATTGCGAAGCTGGAGGCTGAAAATGTATAGTAAAATAAGCCGTTTATCATTTAGTGCCTTCGTTCGGTGCATAGAGTCGTCTAAGTGATTTGCGTGTCACGGGACAGTCTGGCCCCCGCGGGCCGAGCACGGCGCCGAGCTGGGACACACGAAGGGGGCGCGGGGCGACGGAGGGAAGGGGAGAGGGGGTGGGGAGCGAGGCACTCACCTGAGCTCGGAGAGGGGGAGGAAATCCACGTCCACCAACGGTCGCAGCGAGGGCAGGCTGTACGCGACCAGGTGACCGGTCGACAGGTAATTGACGAGACATACACTATCTGGAACCGACCAGCGAAAATTTACACATTAGGTACCTAGCTCGTTACAATGATTGGTGTCGTTTGATCAGGGAAATCGCCAAGATATAAAGATATTGTAATACGTGGATAGCGTATTTGACTACATGTTTAATTATTTATGTGAAATTTAATGAAAAATGCCTGTTCACCTTTAAGGCTGACTATCTCCGCCTTGACGACGAAATCTGTGTCGACGATCTGTTGTCTGTAGACGCAGTTCTGTGAGGGCAACGCGACCACTCGCGCCTGTTTCTCGGACGCGATGACCACGAACTGTCTGTCTCCGGCGCCGGACCCGCCGCTGCCGGACGGCTCCGGTCCGGCGCCGGGCGTCGGCGACATCCGGCTGCCGCTGCTCGACGAGCTCTGCTTCGTCGGCGTGCGCTCGCGCCGCGTACTAGTCTGTCAAGTACGCATGTACAAAGTCAATACATTTCCCGACACATCCTTATGTAGAACATATTAAGATTTATATATGTCGCATCATCATTACGAAGATCGTTTGATTTAGTTTCTTTTATTTTAATTGCTAGTTACTCGATTACTTAATTACTCGATTGTAAAGAAAACGTGATCATCGATACTCTTAATATTATTAGAATAGTGACACGGACTTTGACAGTTCGTTTATAAAAACCAAGTTGCCGCCATTTTGGCACACATTCTGTTTCCAAACGCCGAGGCAAAAAGACATCAGATAACATCACGCTCATCTCGTTATATTTTCGTAAGAAAAGTGATAAAATGGAACAAATCCACGTTGGTATACACGCCTGCAGTGTTATTTTAAAAGATAGTCCTCCGATATGGACTATCTATTTGGGCTTCGTAATAGCCCATTCGGACTACCCGCCGTTATCAGAAGTGGGATGTAACCGACCAAGTGGGCACACAGATCTCATGGATATGGAAAATCTTGGTGCGGTAACAAAATCAAAACTTTTTCGCCCTCAACCACGTTAATCATATGTACCGTCGTCGAGTCACATGTGCATCTGCCCGAACTCGATCCTGGCAATATTTCTGCCTGTCGATACAAGGAGAAACACTTGAAGCCTTCGTGGGAAATACCAAGAGTTCCTGATATGACGAACAGTTGCGGAACAGATGGTCACTACTCTCAAGTTACCTGTAGCCGAAGAAGATGCAACGGTGGCCAAACTGATGGTTCGTCTGCTGGCATTGCTAGTGAGCGACATCTGCTTCATTGCTACCCTTGCTAGTATTTTGCAGTATTTTGGTGAGTCGTTTTCATTTTGTTATGATACTGGAGTCGAGTGCTCCCTTATAAAGTAATTAATATCTTGAAGAGTTCATGGCAATCAAATTAGTAACTCTTAAAATCACTAGTTAAGTGAAAATAAAATTGAAAAAGTGTGATTGCATTGCTGGTTAAGTGATACAATCGAGGTTCTCAAACCGGTTTGTTGTTTATGAATAATTTCATTGTAAATAAGATTTGAAGATAGGATTTATCAACTCTTAAATTCTTATTACTAAAGAAACTTAAAGTAAAACGGTTTTTAATTCATAAAGTTTCGATTGGTTTCAAATTCTTACTTTAGTTAAAGTCAGGACTGACCGAGAAAAGAATCTATCGGGCTGCATATCAATTGGATGCCTAGTAAATGGTTAGTGGTACTATTAGGTACTCATTATTTCTCAATGTTTGATAGAGAGATAATATTTTCACAAAAGTTCAATTCAACAATCAAAATTTTCTTATGAAATGACTGTAGAAATCGCATCCTATGAACTTCCCAACTTTTAAGTCGTTTCACAGAGCCTCTGGGGACCACGGTCATAAATAAGGCCCAGACCCCAGAATCGACCTTTCCCCATCTCCTTTTGAGCTACTGTGGATCATGGCGTAGAGGACCGCTCATGACCACAGCATCACACTTGCTACGAGTACAATAATCAATGCAATTATGCGTGGAGCATTTGCATTGACCAAATATACTTGATAAAACAGCTCATTTTCCTAAACAATTTCCAAAATTTTCCTAAACAACTTAACTACCGTTTTTATAACAATTGTGATAAAATACCCGTTGGTAATAAATTTGATGTTTAAGAAATGATGGTCGAAATCTAGTTCAAATCAAAATTCCCAAATGACTAGGTTTACAGATACTAAGCTCAGAAAAGCTCTTCTATTTTGTTACAGAAACGGGACTGGCGCAGAGCACGCGACGTCTCCCAGAATGGCCGTGTCGTATCATCATTACGAAGATCGTTTGATTTAGTTTCTTTTATTTTAATTGCTAGTTACTCGATTACTTAATTACTCGATTGTAAAGAGAACGTGATCATCGATACTCTTAATTTTATTAGAATAGTGACATGGACTTTGACAGTTCGTTTATAAAAACCAAGTTGCCGCCATTTTGGCACACATTCTGTTTCCAAACGCCGAGGCAAAAAGACATCAGATAACATCACGCTCATCTCGTTATATTTTCGTAAGAAAAGTGATAAAATGGAACAAATCCACGTTGGTATACACGCCTGCAGTGTTATTTTAAAAGATAGTCCTCCGATGTGGACTATCTATTTGGGCTTCGTAATAGCCCATTCGGACTACCCGCCGTTATATATTTATTAGAGATCTCATCTCAGAGCACCTGGGGCTGGTGGATTTTTGGTGCGATGTGGAAATTAAGCAATTTATTATCTCGAGCTCCTCCATGTCTCGGAAGACACTCAAGGCACGTTGAGCCATTGGTCTCTGCCGCATCGGCAGTTGTTAACTCATCAATATTTCTACATTTTAAATATGTACATAGGTAATATACTTACTACATCTTTACTATCGTCCTTCCAACTTTCGTATGAATAAGGTATGAGAGCACCGTTACAGTCCAGAAACGACATCGTCAGTATTGAGCCTTTTAACCTAAATATGGGTCCACCTGGAACAGATAGGTACGTCCAGTTCAAATTATATCTTACTTCAATTGAGTCGTTACATTACCGACGGTCCTTCACTTATAAATAGTATACAGTAGAACCGAACAAATATTAGATTTACAAATTTCGATAATGATAGAAGGTATGAGTGTAAAGACCTTTATTCGAATTGAGAACCATCTCCTTTTTTAAAGTCTGCATTCGTTTTCTGTCTTGGTTTCATTCGGCGGAGGTCAAGCGCGTAGATCGCTACATGAATCGAAATTTATGAGACTTGATTATGTAACGCCACTTGCAAGTATAAAAGTTTCATATATAAAAGTGAATTGTACAGATGCAGTAGTTCGAGGTAGTAGTCCTATCATTTATCATCTTTTTAAAAAGTTTCCAACGAAATGATTGCCTTGATGTCAGTGGTGTTGACGATAAAAAAACGATATTTGTATTCACGAAGTGCGTTAAGTCTGCTATAAAAACTTGCCCACGGCAATAAAGCACCGACTCGATCTATCTACAAATTCCATATAGTAGATACCTGTGGTGGAGACTAGCACAGGCTGTGTATGTCGCGCGTCAGCTTCGGGCAGGCTAATCTGCATCGTCAGCACCGAACCCAGCGTGGTACCTATCCACAGCGTCGGCAACAGCGTCGTCGGATCTGATTAACATTCAAACACACCTCAAGTGTTGGTCTCCACCAGCCACCACCACCACCAGGATAGCCCATACCTCTTTATTGAGCTCACAATTTGTTTAGTTTTTCTTGATATAACAATGGTGTATTCTACAGTGTATAATGAACTATACTTTAAAGGGAAGGATCGATGCGTCTCCAATAGAGAGCATATCAGAATTTAAATACGTATATATGTATATTGATATAGAATATCGTCAGTATATCTATAAAAATTGCAAAATATAAAAAGTGCCTATGTATCTAAAACTTGACTATCAAAGATATCAATCATCAGTGGCGTAACTACAGGGTGACAAGTCGGCAAAATGCCACGGGCCCCCAGCTGGAAAGGGCTCCCGTTCAGACTCCTTACTCCTGACATTTATTATTACGCAATTAGTAAAAAAATTGAATATCCGATGAATTTGCCACGGGGCTCAAACGGTATAGTTACGCCCCTGTCAATCATTACATTTTTATAAAAAAGGTATAAAATAATCTCACCTGACTTCTTCGTGTAGCTGTCAGCGAATGCGAGACACTGTATGCCCTCCTGCGAGATGTTCTCCAGACTGGACATGGAGCTGGACCGCGACCGTGAGAACGAGCTGTCCAACTTGTCTGCGCGCGCGCCGGTGCAACACAACAACACGTTACCCACCACCCCCCACCCCGCCCCGCAGGGGGAGGGGCGCGCGCACACGCCCCCGGTGACAGACAGGTAGGTAACATTTCGCTACTTCTGGACCATTTTAGCATTCAAAGTGTTAGTGTTTAGATTATTTTATTCGATTGAAACAAACAACATGTACTCTTTAAACGAGTTACACAGTAAATTATAGAGAGACATCGTATTTAAATCTAATTGTTAAATCTTATCGTATTTAAATCTAATAATATTGTTGAGTGAGCGCAAGATTTTTCCGATTATTTCTTGGAAACGTTATGAAGTATTTATTTAAACTACATTAAAAGAAAAAAAACAATTCTTTCATATTTCGTATACTCCATTTTGACAGGTGCGAAGTCTCCCTCCCTTCCTGAATGACGAAAGACCCACGAAGCACCACTGCTGGTACACTGACGTAAAATAAATTAATTGTTCATGTTTTAATAAAATAAAAAATTAGGACTTTTAACGACATATTTTTTAAGCGTTGTCAACTATGTGGACATGTCGTGCGTCGTCATTAATATAGTGTTATCAATTTCACAATCTACTTTGAATGCTTGTTTATCATCTATTGTGTTCCAAAACTATGGCTACCTTAAAGTTTTAACTGTCACCGAGAGCGTTCGGACTAGTCTACGGAATACAACGGCAACAAAGCTAGCTGTAGCTGACGAGGTGTTCCGGTGCAGTTGTGAAATCAGCTGAAATCATCCAGTTCAGTGCGGCATTACTCTTCCAAGTGAGGACCGAGAAAATATCAAAGAAAGAAAGAACATGCTCCAAGGAAACGTGTGATTGCATGCCCGTCCAATCTCAGCTTATTGCACAACGACGTCCCCCTGTAGGTAGGTACCTCATCGTCGGACACATATTCCCTAATTATAGGTATTTGTTCAGTTAACATCAGAATGTCAGGTGCTTTGACGTGAGGTATTATTTACATGACACATAACAAACAAAACACCCTTTATATCAAAATCGATTTAACTATAGTCTTTATAAGTATTTTTAGTTTTTATTAATCACATTAACGGAGCTCTCTAAATGTGGGATCGGTAGATGAAAAGCGGCGAGTTAATAGTTATTTTATATGCATGGGTTCAGCAAAATAAATAATTGAATGTGGGGACGGTATGGAGGAGGTGGTGATAAAGCGGGCGCCCTCCGCAGCCGATACCAAGCTCCCCTACTCACCCGCAGGCAGGTAGCCGACTATCCTCTAAGTTAATCACTACCGAAAGCCCTCTGCTAACCCCGCGCCACTAATTATAATCAAGCATCGTGGACGGACAGACAATGCAATTACAAACATAAGGTGACTACGTAACAAGGCGGTGTGCATTATAGGCTAGCGAGCATGCCACTAGTGCCAATAAGAAGATTATAAGCATACATAGACATAACGACAGCCGAATATAGAGGCAGCCAAAAACGAGCCATTTAATCTTTTTGCTTTGCGGTCGAGCTAGAAAAGAAACAAACAATCATGTACTGAACAGCGTCATGTCAGAGAACGGGCGGCGCGGGCGGACCGCGCCCGCAAGCCAACTAAACAACGGTGAACGCGGTGGCAGCAAATTACAGACCAGATATAAGTAAATAACAGAATATAGAGAGATGTATGGACTATAGGAGCACGTGTCTCATTATTATATAGGTAAGTACAATACGGAAAGCTTCAGTTCAATAATAGTACTTAAATATATGCACATGTAACACACGATCGGGTATCGTCCAAACATTGAACAAGTGGATAGTGGTAGATAGATCATAACAAACAGACAATAGTTTTGAGTAGTAAGTCACCTTTTACTTAATTCTATTTCATGCCATTAGAAGTGGTCGAATTGAGTGCAATCGAAGTGTCGTGTGAAGAGGAGAACATGACAAAACAGTCACAGCAACAATCGCGTCTAACGGATACTCTACGGTGTGTATGTACGGTGGGTGTGTGGGGCAGGCAGAACGGAAAACGTAATAATATATAAATAATAGATTCAAGTAATAATATCGGATGCATGTTCGGATACCATTGGGTTGCATTATGTGTAAGTACTCCATAGATGCGAGAGACTGCGGAATAGTTGGTTCTGTACCGACAAATAAAACCAAATATGTTACAAGCACGTTCTCACGGACAAGTCTAGTGCGGCGCCGGCGCGGCGTGCGGCGGCGGCGGCGACGACGGCGACGGCGGCCGGTCCGGACCGGACCGTTCGTGGTGTGCCAGCCGCCGGACGCCGGACGGCGCCGGATGCATTGTCAGATAGTACAGCAACAGACCGCGTGGTCATACATGACATGATACACCATTTACATGAAGTCTCATTCCGGTCGGCAATGACGTAAGACAACAAAGGAAACACTACTCAATATTTGAACAACTAGTAAATGAAATGATAACGAAGGGTGTTGAATAAACCAATGATTACCTATCAAATGATTCCGATCTGAAATAAATTGGAAATTTATCAAATGAATAACAGAAAAATAAGTAAGTGGAGGCATGCGCGGCGGCGTACATACAACGCGCGCGGCGTGAGTCAGCCGCCCGTTGGCGTCGTCACTCGATTTATATGAATATGTCCAGTTAGTTAATGTTCATTTAGGAAGTATTTTTATGATTCAATTTAGTATGACTAATTTTGGGTGTCGATGGCCAAAATTCTTATATTACTCGGTGTAAAGCTGAACATATCAAATACTCAAGACCAGACCTTTATCGCCCGTGTCTAACTCGAATTCAGTTGAAGTTCGGTATCGATATGTTCATCTCGTCACCGGCGAAGATGTCAGTATCAGATATGAAAGAAGTATAACAGTGAGTGTAGAGAATAACTCAACATTAAATAACCAAAACAGATAAAAAAAGATTAGACAAAAACGGATCTCGTCTGGGGACGTCATCTCGAAGTAGACTACTCTAACGTAGTCTACATACATTTCAACCAGCGTTGCCAGTATTTTTTTGCCAAGTCGGGATTTTGAAACTTTTTAAGTGAAAAAAGCGGGATTCTATCGTCGATATAAGCGGGACATAGTAAAAATAATAAATGCACTGTATTACGCGTAATATCCATCTAGACGTTTTTACAAAAATTTTTGGGGTGGGTTAATCTAGAAGCTTTTTTAAACGGAACTTATAAAAACCAGTACACTTTTCGTTGTTGTAGAAGGCGCACGTTGTGTTGAAAGTTAATTCATTGCATTAATTTATAATAATATTATAAAGCTGAAGAGTTTGTTTGTTTGATTGTTTGTTTGAACGCGCTAATTTCAGGAACTACTGGTTCTGGTTGGAAGGCTTTAGGCTATATAACATCACGCTGCAAGTATTAGGAGCAAAGAAATAATGGAAAACGCGTCCTATGTCTGTGATCAAGTAAAAAAAAAATGATGTTATCACTATTTTGTTTACTTACAACAATTTCGTTTTATTTGGTATTTAGCGCGTTAGATTTGAAAAAAAGTTTTTTTTTTTAATTATTTGGTAAAAGCAAATTAGTTTCATAAAAAAAAACACAACATTCTACGCTTATTATAACTATTTCCAAACGCTAATTAAAAATCGTACAACGTAACAACGCTTAAAACGTTTAAGTCGTTATTTCCACCTCTTATTTATCATTATGCGCCGGGCGGGCGGCCAGTCCAGTCAGAAATCGGGACCAAAGCTGTCCCGGGCGGGACATTTAATTTCGATTTAAAAATCGGGACGTCTGGCAACGCTGATTTCAACGTTCAGTTAATATGAAGCTTTGTAGTGTACACGATCCTAAAGACTGAATATTTGGATCAGATCATATATATTCTCGGAAAGTCAATATCGTTATTGGAAATAAAATTACATTTTCCGATTTAAAATCAGATTTTTATAATGTAAACCCATACCTATTAAATATCTCGAAGCCCATAGATGACACAGACGAGTCAATCGGCGAAACAGAAAAAAAAAGAAAAACCAAAAAAAGGCGAGGAAACTGCGACTGTTTCAGAACGGAAGGAGACGAGGCCGATAAGGTGACTGTACTACCAAAACTGCAATACTGCCGCGTCGTCAGCAGGGAGGGCTGCGGGGCGGGGGGCGCGTTGTACACGTCCGACGCAGTGGAGAGGCACTTGTGCAGTTTGCGGGTACCTTGCGACCGCGACCGCCGCACGCGCGCCCCGCCGGCCCCGCCCCCACCCCCGCCCCCGCTGCCGCCGCCCGCGCTCCCGCCCCCGCCGCCGCCACCCCCGCCACCGCCCCCGCCGCCCCCGCCGCCCGGCCCGTTCATCTACAACACACACACACCGAGCCACGCTGCCACCGCCGCCCACTGCCCACCACCCCCACTCTACATACACCGACGCACCGAGGGTTAGGAACTCGTGATCTCTGTGCCCGTGGTTACACGACATCGGCGCCGTCCTGCCCGCTTCGGCGTCTTCACCCTCGACCGGACCGTAAACTTTAAAAAATCTTTAGTATTACAAGGTCGAATCTCTCTCCGTCGACCGCTCCGACGTATACGCCAAAGGTAAGCGATAGACGACACGAATAATATTTCTGCGTTATCAGAAAATAAAACTCGGGCTTCCGTCGGTCGGTCCGGGCGAGGGTGGAGGGGAGACAGCGGGCGGGTCGGCGGGCGGTTACCTGCGGCGGGCGGGGGAGGGGCGCGCTCGCAAAGCCCCGCCAGCGCGCGCCCTGCGGACACACACGCGTGAGTACGTCGGGACGGGCCCGTCGCGTCGGGACGGTCCCGTCGCCTCGACATCGGGTCGGGCGCCGGCGGCCTACAAGCTAGCGGCCGCTACCGAGCGATACTACATACGACACACACACAGGTCACCTACTGGAGCTGCTCGATTACCGAGGAACTCGGCGAACAGATATTTTAGGCAGTTAGTCGAGTCCTCGTCGGATGATTCCTTGGAATAACAGAAAACAGACGAGTCAGACGACACCTCCCCCGCGTGCATCGCTCGTCCGCACAGTATCGTGCGTGAACTGTACGGGACGTCAGACCTCATATATGTATATGTATATATGTAATATGTATAAATAAATAAAAATTAACAAGCCAAATATCACAAGAAGCGTGAAGCGAACCGGGGGACGGGGCGGACGGCGCCCACCCCGGCCGTTCGCGTCTCCGAATCGTGAAAGATCGAATCGTCGACCGCGAAATCGTCGGCTCGGTTCGGTCCGTCTCGGGATCGGGACGGGAGAGTAAAAAAATCTAGCTACCATCACCTCTAGGTCTACCGTCGTCTACCCGGCGGGATCGAAAAGGGAACTACTTTATCGGGGAGCATTAAAAAATTGCCAAACCGTTACCATTCCAAACCGATCGAAACCGCGAACTACTCTATGTGACAGCGAACAACGGCTAGTGCTACCCGGCGGGCCCGGCGCCGGCGGAGAATGCGGGAGGGAGGGTACTCACTGAAGCGCCGCATCAGGTTGCCGGCGAACGAGGGCGGCGCGGGGGCGGACGCGGGGGCGGGAGCGGCCGCGGGCGGGCGGCGGCGCTCCTGTTTACCGTACTTTATGTTAGGCACCGACAGCAGCCGCGAGTCCCCACCCCGCTCCCGCCCCCGGCGCGGCGGCGCCACCGGCTGCTCGCCCTCCTCCCGCTCCCGCTCCCGCTCGCGCTCCTGCCAGCGCTGCTGCAGCTCGCGGTGCATGCGTTCGTACGCGTCCGTGGCGCGCCGCTCCTGCAGCTCGCGGTGCATTCGCTCGAACACGTCCGCCCCCGCCCCCGCCCCCGCCCCCGCGCCCTCCGCCTCCTCGGGCGAGCTGATCGTCTCGGTCTCCTTGGCTTCGACGTTATCGGCGGGTTCGATCGCCTCGGCGTCGGCGCCGCTCGGCTCGGCGCGGTCGGTCGCTTCCTCGGCGGGGGTCGTGAACGCCGCTTTGAATTTCAGATCGACTTTGGACAGCTGCCGCTTCAGGTTGAACGTCTTCCAGGTGGAGGACTTCCGGCGGGCGGTGGGGTCCGGGCGGCGCTCCTCGGTCTCGTCGGGCTCCGCGGGGTCGGCGGGCGAGCGCGCCGGCTCCTCCGGCTTGCACACACACGGGAATCGTCATTGACGGCGGGGCCGCTACGGTAAGGGGGCGCTACGGACGCGAACTATGTGGCGGGTCTACGGGGCGGTGAGGATGTGGGGGTCTACGGGTTGGCGCGCGACCGAGGCGACGTCGCGGTCGAGTCGGGAGCAACTCAAAATTAAAGAAACGAAACGGCAAATTAATAGAATACAGAACGCAAGGTCGGACCGAGTCCCGTCCGCCGCGACCCTCGTACTCACCCGTGTCCGCTCGTGGCGCCGTCCTGTGTCCCGGCGCTCCCTACCCTAGCCTCTGCCGTTTTATGAGCGGTCGTCGTGTGAGGTATGGTGAAGTGCCGCGGTGGAATCCTGGAATCTTCTTAGCGACAGATATAAAAGACCGGTTTTGACCGTGCCTCACTTATGAGATTTAACGTAAATTTAGCTTTCGTCCGTTGTGGTGGCTGGCTTTATTTTGGAAACGATTTGGAAACTTGCGAATATAAAACGATCTGTCTAATCTTCAGGGCCTATTGAGAGAGAGGAGTGAGCGCACAAGGAATGGTCGTTAGATACATTCTTTAGACACCTCCAAGGGATATGGAATGTAATCAATACTTATATTATAAAGAGGAACGACACACACTCATACACACGCACACACACACACACACACACACACACACACACACACACGTACACACACACACACACACACACACACACACACACACACACACACACACACACACACGCACACACGCACTCATACACTCATACACGCGTCTTATTACACATTACACCCATTCTTATATACTTATTAAAACAAATAAAAAGCAAAACCAATTATATGATACAAATTATTGTAAAGGGCAAACATTATACTATAAACAAGTTACATGACGTTTTGGCCTGCAAATAGAGATCAGAGTATTTACAAACATCATCTTAGATACTGATGAATCAGTGTGAGTACACGCGCATATAAATAAAATACAATCTCACAAATTGCAAAGGTTTGTTAAGTCGGAGGTCAATATCCGTAGTATGTTGATCAAACTGTTATTATAAATAAATATATTGTCAATATTCTATTTAACTCTACTTTAATTTTTTATTACCTATGTATTTGGCAAATAAACATTTCATTCATCCATTCATAATATACTTTGATATATTTATACTTTTTTTAATTTTATTGTCAATTATTAATACACTTGATTTATTTTCCAATGTTAGAAAGAAAAGAAAAACAATTTTATTGGCCTCACAAGCGGCACACTCAGAAGAACACAAAATAAGAGAACAGAATAAAACTAAAAAAAAATTACACTTACGATAGCATAAATGTAATGAATATATTTATTTCTTCACCCACTCACTGAGTGCGTCGCGTGAGGCCATTCAGGGTTGCTGTCTTTTTTTTTTAACATTTGCGATTTTTTTGTAACATTGTAGTTACAACGCTACAAAAAGACTGATTTTTTGACGGCGCCTGATATTATTAAAATTCATTCGATTTACATTTATCAAGTGTTATGAAAAAACAGACGTTAGCTTGATAAAAATAATATTAAGCTTCCGTCTGTTTATTATCTATAACATTTTATTAACTATAACATTTTCACTGACAATGTAAAATTAAAAGGTGGAACAGAATCTAAGGAGTGGCCTTTGTAATAAATGATAATTAAAAATTTGTTACTTATTTCAAGTATAGACTATAAATGTTGTATCTTGACAGATTTTCAGTTTATATTACACGATGTGCTGTTAAATGTACAAACTAAGAAGATTCCAGTATTCACATACTTAAAATTAAAAATATTTTTGTTTCATTTTGAAGTTAGCGATTTTTTTAAATACGTATGTGGAGTGTGTAATTTTGTTTAATTATTATTTTGATATAAAAATAAATTTGTGAATTAGGACGAAATATAAACATTTCCGATCGTCTAATACACATATGAAGGAACTATTAATCCATTAAGATGTCATTTACATTATTACACTAGATTCGTCCTCCGTGTATTGGTCTATCATCGATCATCCAGGAAAGAGATGTCTTCGACCGTTAAGACAAGTAAAGGTAACTTTAATCTCGTTATTCCTATTTGTGTATGGTTTTTAGGGCCTAATATATTCTTTCGCATTTTATCCGTCGGAGCACACAAGTGACAGGTGTCTAGTTACGACGTATAACAGCAGGGCGTACAGCAGTGTAGTAGAGTGTAGTGTAGTAGTGTAGTGGTGGGGCACGCACCTGGTCGAGGCTGGGCGACCGCTGGCGGTCGGGCGGAGGGTTCTGGGGATTGAGGGGGGTGCGCGGGGGCAGGTAGAGGTGCGCGGGGGGCAGCGCCGCCACCACGCAGCGCCGCCACGCGTCCACCACCACCACGCCGCGCTCCCCGCCCCACGCCATGCTGCACCACACCCACCACGTTATCTTGCTCGCTTATACACTAACACCGACACACTCACCTATCCCTTTCTCTTGCGACCGGACAATCGAATTGATATACGACGCGAAAGTCGAGAGACGGGAGAGGTTGGGTAGAAAAAAACTCTCTAGCAACGGGTAAATGGCGTGCTAATGGAAATTATTAAAACGAAAAAGACGCGAGACCTAAAAAAATAAACGTTTCCACATAGGTATTTGTAATCGACTGTCGTTAACAGACTAAAGCATATTTAAAATTGGTTTTTAACCCAACTTTGTTTTAATCGATCCTCGTAATGTACATTTTTAAAGCACGATTCGTGTCTGTCATTCCTCAGGTGTCACTTTCCGAGTGTGCTGCATTAATATTAAATCAAGTCGGTACTCCGCACATAAATATCCACCGAGTGTTTTCATCACGGCGATATGACGAGGGAGCCATATAAAAAAGTCATGAACGATACGTCACTGAGCAACGTTCCGATCAAAAAGCGTTGAAGGGTAAATCATCACGACGATCAAGTGACAATCCATCGAGAGTCGGGACTAAATGTGGAGTCCAATCGCATAAGTATCCAGGCTAGTATATAATCGTGTCATGTGTTGTGCGTATACGTACAGGCCGGTGGAGCAGTTGATGGCGAGCGCGGTGACGGGGTGCGGCGGGCCGGCCTGCAGCGCCACCAGCTGCGGCTGGAAGCCGGCGGCCCGCCGCGCGCCCCCCGCCCCCGCCCCCGTCCCCGCTGCGCCTCGCACGCGCAGCCCCCCCGCCGCCGCGCTGCCCGCCCCGCACCCCGCCCACACGCCCGACTGTACACAACACGAGCGTCATCAAAATAACTATTTGAAATTCCACAACCGATTGTTGGCTGAACGTCCGAATAAGAGTTCAGTTTTAAATTATATATTGTTTCCAACGTTTACTAGAAAGAGTGAATGGACACAAAAACTCACTCTTCTGCTCTCTCCCTCCGAGGCGTCTCCTCCTCTACTGAACGACATGGATCGGGCGCTTTCGAACTCCGGCGACGTTTCTTCTTCTAAAGCTTCTGATATTACTGGAATTTCTAAAACCTGATGAAAAAACGAGAAATGTTACCCGGGTGTTACCTATGATTTAAAAACTACTTTCTAACAAATTAAATAATCAGTTAATTACGTTACGAAATAAGTGTTCAATAATTCAATATCAAAACTAACACCATAATATTGTGTCTTTCGGACGAATAAAGCCCCAATATTCGCCCTAACCGTATTTGAGCAACCAGAGAATGTAATAATACATTTCGTTTCATTTATTTAGATGATTTCATTGAGTTTTCATACGCTTTTATCGCACATCGATAGATATATCGCACATAGCTCGTGATCCAATCCGAGTCGAGCATCAGTTTCATATATTTTGTATGGATAGACTCACGCTTAAGGTTGTCAACATTTCTTTAGCGAAATTAAAGTAGTTTTCTTTTTAAACAAGCTTATTAAATAAAGCACACTTCAAAAGTAATAGTGCCTACCTACCGATTCCACGGGAACCGTACAATAACTACTATATCACGATATGAAATGAAATTATGTTAAATCAAATAAGCTTATTAAAAGCACTATTTCACTATCCACCACTTGTGCGGAATGTCTTTTGGCTGACAAGAAAACTGGAAACATAACAGAGTTATTTAAAGATAATCTATTATGCGTAATGAAAAAGTTAATTATTAACTACGAGTACTTATATAGTGCGTTTGGCAATTCTAACTCTTTACCGACCGGCAATCGAATCAAAATATCGGTCATGAACTGGTCAACTAATATGATATACAAGCTGAAAATGTATGAATGTTGGATCTGCCACGATCAACGATATGGCGTGAGTCATCCCCCATCGGTCTTTAATGTATGTACTAATATAAATGAGAAAAAAAGCGGGTAATAGGTTCGACAGTATGTTTTGTTCTAAGTTTTCGGGTTGGTAAATGTTATCACCAGAGATCGGAATTAGGTAGAGTTAATCATGTACTTGCATCGAAATGTTGATATTAATGTGGACCTTCCCGGGATTTCTTTATTTCTTTCTTTCATTGATGTAAGTTTGACAACGTCGTGCGTGCAGTAGTTTAAATTGTGTAAAAGTAAATAACTTTTTATTTAAAAAATCACGGGATTTTTTCTGCTCTTTAAAATTAATCTCGGGATTTGAGGCATATCCACTTTATTCTATCGCTGTATGAAATCAGTGTAAGTACATGAATAACTCTACCTAATTCCGACCACTGGTTATCACGAAAAAGTTTGCAACGAAATGAGCAAACGCAACAGCGTATAGTTCTCACGTGGGTCTCTGCATTTGTCTCCGTTTTGCGGAACTTGAAGAGTACACAGTGCCCGTGTGGTAGCGCTACCGCGAGGCGGCGTGACTCCGCACACAGCGCCATCTGTTGTATGCTCAGCGGACTCTCCTCCTCCCACCCGCCCCCGCTGCCTCCGCCCCCACCGCTCCCGCCGCTCCCTCCGGCGCTACCCGCGCGCCGCTCGAACACTGCACGATTAAAGGAACCGTATATAATATTCATTGTCAGATATTTACTGCACTTGTAAACATTATTACGAGCCATTATAAACTTTACCTTTGGAACATTTTAATTTATACAAAATTTGTAGGGTCCCGGCACTCGCATCCCAAAACTTTACACTGCCGTCTGCGTGTCTGAAAAAAGAAAATATACCATAGTATGCAAATATTATCACGTTGTATACGTGCTCAACAATTAACCTCCCTTGACAGCAATATGTATGACGTATTCTAAATGTATTAACGCGCCGACGCTATTTCAATACTTCTGGTTTTAACCCCCGGCTGTAACTATTCTCAGTATTTATTCTATTGAATAACAGAACAACCGTGTGTTGTACAGTGCGGCGGTTATGGTGGCCGTTGTATTATTATTACCCGGTGAGTATGATCTCGCTATAGGAGCAGGAGGCGGGCGCCCACTCGCCCCCACTGATGGGCCATAATTTGTCACTGAAACCGGCCGCTTTCTTGGCCGCCTGTCGACCCACCGAGTAGAACGCCGGTATCTGAAAATGGGAATAGTTCTATTTAATACACTTGTTAGTTTATAGTTTTATTACACTACATAGCACATATAAACAGCACATTATATATACGTTAGCAACTTATCATTCAAAATATCAATTTTTTATGTAGATAATTGATTGTTTATTGACTGACCAAGTCGGAGGGGCAATCAGCGAAGTATGAGCAGCAGGTGACCGGCGACTCGTGGATGTCCATGGGGTAGGGGTTCTCGAAGCAGGGGTACCCTGGCGTCTGCAGGTCGATCACCACCAGGTCGCTCTGCAGCAGCACCACTATCGCGTACGGCTCCTGGGACTCTGCAACCCAACCCAACCACAAATTATAACACACAAATGTTTAACACCAAAAATATTGTTTACAGAATGTGATGGAACTTCGTTATTTTTTATTCTAATTTTTTTTCAATAATTTTAAAGAAAATAAGAACTGTACCTTCTGTAATATTAGATGCGATATAACATATTACTCATTTTTAACATACACATTTAATACCACAACAGGGATGATGACTAATTTTTGTTTGTTTGTCCGTCAGGTAGAATGTTAAAAAATATTAAACATGTATTTTTTAATTTTTTTCGTAATCATAAAATTACGGCGGTACATTACCACCACCAGCCCTTTTACGTCCTCACTGCAGGGGCTTAGGCCTTCCTTATGGATGGTTAAGGAGGATGGGCCATGACCCTCCACGCTGCCCAATGCGGATTGGAGAGTATTAACGACTGCAAATGCAGCCGGGACCAACGGCTTAACGTGCCTTCCGAAGCACGGAGTAGCTCGAGATAATAATTTTTTGGTCACCCATCCCGTGACCGACCCTTGCGAAAGTTGCTTAACGACTACGATCGTGGGCCGCGGCGCTTATCCACTACGCCACCGAGCTACACACCGAGCTACGGTGTTACATGGAGTTGAAATTTCGCATGACGTCACGTTAGAGTACGTTTTCTACTCAACTGTGACGTAGCGAGCCCCCACTCCTCAACTTTGATGCCTGTTATCTAAGCTATTTCTTGTTAAATTGAAGTAAAAAAAATACGTATCTAATATTTTTCTATTATCTGACTGACGGACTAAATAGAATTGCATTTTTTTTTACCCAGACATCATCCCTATTGTGTATAATAGCAAAGATAAATGTTAATTACTAAAAGAACATCAAATACTCCTCGGGGTAATACTAGATGCTTGTACTTTAAGCTTTAGGGTTGCACTTTAATCTACATATAGACAACATCATCTCTAGAGCATATAAGCAGCTTGGCATGATACTACGATACACGAGGCCGTTTAAGGAAATATTTACCTATAAAATATTGTATTATTCCTTTGTTTGATCTCTTTTAGAATATGCATGCGTCGTTTGGAAACCCCAATATGCTATTCACATTGCCCGAATTGAAAAAATACAAAATAAATTTTTGAAATCTTTAGATTATCGAACAGGACATTTCTTCGTTGACTATGAAAGGTGCATCTAAAAGGCATAATATTGATTCCTTACAAAATAGACGTGTTTATCTGGATGTAGTTTTCCTTTACAAAATAATAAACAATTATGTGGACTCATCTTGATTATTAAAGATAATAAATTTTAGAATCCCTAGGGCCTCCTTACATTCTAAAAACATTTTTCATTGTTCACCCACTGCCACAAATTAAGCTGGGAACACTTTTATAAGACGCTCCTGTGGATTTTACAATGACAATTTAAATGACGTTGACATTTTTTCGCTATCACTAATTCAATTTAAACGAAAAGTGGGAGATATTATATTTAAAAATGAATATAGTGAGTTTTTGAGAATATTGTGGAGAAGCTGTTTGTTCGATGTGGAGGTTAAGTTTATTCGATGTCATCACTATTGTTAATAGTTAGCAATTAAATAAATTTTGTTAGTATTTAGTAATGGAACTGTCAGCTCTATTAGTTAAATAAGCTGTGATTGTATTTAAATTGTAATAGACTGTTTGTTTTCCTAAATAAATAATAAAAAAAAAATGCGTTTCACGAGTATGTTTTATGCAAATGGATAGAGATCTTGTACTGAAACGAATTAAGTAATATATGAGAGACCTGCAGTATAAGGTGTCTCACAGAGCGTGAGGAAGTCCACGACTGCATGCTCCATCTCCAGTACGGTGGTGGTCTTCCCGTTCAGGACGGTCACGCTGTGTGTTCGACCAGCCTTGTCCGAAGGCAGACCACCGGAGAAAATCACCAGACTCTCACTGTAAAATACATATACAGAATGAATTTGTTGTAAAATAGAAATTGTAATATTAATGTAATGTAATGTATTATCTGTATTTACAAGCGGCGCCTGATGTCCTGCACGGACACCAAGCGCTATATGGGCCGGCGTTTACTGACATTTCTGGTGAGAATATTATATCTATGTCGATGAGTTTATGTGGTGTATATATGTGGGAGAATTCCTAGTTTACCTGAAAAGTCTGTCATATTATTCACGAAGGAGAGCTTATCATCCCATACCAATTTTGTATCTAACGCATGTCAGACTACGATAAATTTTGTCTTTCCCCATTAAATGAGATTCGAAATAACGATTTTTGATATATTTCATCAAATGTCATGATATAAACATATTACGCAAATTAAGATTCCTACCGAGGACATTCGCTATGCGGAACACATGTGATATCAAACATACTATGTTATTTAAAACACTGTGTTACGGGAGCATCATGGCAACACATATTTCTAAAAAAAACTAACGTAGAAATATACAATATGTTAAGATTTCTCATCATCTTTCATTAAGAAAACTAATTGAATTGATCAAGTACTGCTTACTTATGTATAATACCTACCTATAATAATAACATATAGTTTGGAACTTGTGCTAATATGCTTTACTTCCACTTAATTATTACAGTGGAAGGATTGGTAATAGTATAATAAAGAATGTGCGTGATTACAATTTGATTTATTTTCTAAAATCTAAGCTCATCTTGGTTACTTAATCTAGCCGATCTGTTCTATGAGATTTGTTCATTTACATTTTAAGTGATCCCTTATCAAGCCTTATATTAAAAGGCTAATTATAAATTCTCCATCGAGAAATCACTCACCCTGTTCTCGAAGTTTTCCATTCAAGTCTCAGTATGGGCTTACAGGGCTCCAATTTACCGTCTTTGTTCGCCTTTGCTGAAAAGCAACGAATAAAAACATTCAATAAAGCTCCTTTGATGAATAATTCAAATTATTTTACTGCTCAACGTTACGAACAAGTGGCGTTGAATTCTCGAATAAGTAAGATGCTCAAAAGTGTGTGCGTAATTCACAAGATTTTGGTAGGATTACAACACTTGAGTAGGTAGTACGTTCGTAGCAATACGCGTCTATGTTTATTACCTCGTGCGCACGTGATGGATTTTAGCTTCAATAAGTCTCGCTTAACACGTGGCAAGAAACTGTAGGTAAAATTAGAAAGTCTCAAATGACTTCAGGCTTATTAATCAACCTGATTGAAATACTTCTACAAGTATTATGACGAGAAGACTTTAAAAGTAGTGGACAAAAGACTATCTTATAAATAGCGATGGACGATTATGTCCGACTCCTACTCTCATAAAACCGAACATAAAGAGCTCCAAGTTCTAATTTACATATTTTATTCATGAGTATTGTTGGTGCCTGGACTTTGGTGGAATGTTAAATTATGAAATTGATTACGGTTATTATGATATATTTATTAAATGTTCGCAAAATATTATGTTATTGTTAATGTTAAAATAAATGTTTACGAGTGCAACCAATTGTATGAACGGTAAAAAATATACCGACGGCCTACTCTGTTTCTTCGAAAACAAAAATCGTCTATTTTCGAAACACTAATATGACTCTAAAGGAACACAATTTCCGATAATTTATAATGAAACGGAGGGAGGACCCTGACACTGCTTCTGGTGCACAGATAATTTTGACGCATATAATAAAAAAAAATATTTTTTGAAATTTTCGTTCGTAGACAAACAGAGTAGCCCCTGATTTACGTAAACTATTCGATGACAGTATAGTGCGGCCAGTGACCTTCTTTAGATACATTACTATTAATCGTAGTATACAAAATGCAAATATTACCTACACGTTCGGTCATGCACCGAATAAGCATCCTATTTATTTTCTCTTAATGTTATTAAAGAATTATTTATAGATAGCAAATGTACGTATGAACGTAATCCCAGTTATCTTCTATTTGAGCAATCTTGTTCCGGCTGAAGATCAGCTTCCAGATGTTAGTGTATGTGGTGTTGGATAGTTGTCAATATTGACAGTTGGCACTGACCGTGTGGATAAGAGACGGATGTGGGGCGGGGGGAGCGCGTGCTCCACGTGGCGAGTGCTCCGTCTTGGTGCGCGGTCATCAGTTTCCCGTCGTGTTGCCAGGCCGCAGCTCGGATGCCGTCCGCTGGGGTCCCGGTGCCGAGACATCCGCGCCACTCCGCTTGACGGGAGCGCAGGTCCCACACCACCACTAACCCGGTCTCGAACGCTATTAGTAGCTAAAATACAAAATGACTGAAATAACTTAATATAAAGCCTGTTACATGTTCTAACATGTGTAGAATATAGTCAGTAGGTGCCTGTTCTTTGTCTAGTAGCAGTCGGAGGTGGCTCCTGGTTGGATCTTGTTTTAGATTAAAGTCTTGTTATGTATCATCCAAATTTGTTGTTAATAACATCAGCATTAGGCAGTTGTCCGAGAGCCAACAAGAAATGTGAAATGAAGGCAGCACAGAAATCTAAGCAAGTTGGGGAACAGGAACGAGTTTTAGGTAAATCCAAGAGTACGAGTATAAACTCGATGACCATTTACTTGCACTATTTGTTTGCTGGGGTACATAACAAACCAAACGAGCTTTTATCGGGTATGATTCTGATCGCCGAGAGAGTATCGCAGAGAAAGAAAGCAAAAGAAGTCAGCGAACATCTATTATACATGTATGACATTTTTTTTTGCCAATTGACATAAGCGTAATAACCTCGTGTGTTCATAAGTTTGGAGACGAAATATTTGCGTTACTCTTTTAATAATAAACTTATATTTCTAAAATTTTCAGTAACCATTAAATAGATAATAATCAACAATAAAATATAAAAGTTAGTCAAAATACCACCCTTGTTTTTAATACAGGCCCTTAGACGATTTGGCCAGTCATAAACGGCGGCACGAATCTTTTCTAGCGGAATTCGCTTTGCTTCTCGAACAAGGTTTTGCTTCAGTGACTCGAAGTTTGGGTGGGATTTTCGGCAGGCCCTGAGCTCTAATTCAGGCCATAAAGAATAATCCAGCGGGTTGAGATCGGGGCCGGCACATTTTCCCTCAACCAAGCTTGGGTGCTTTTTGCTTATGGGATGGCAGCGGGTTGAGGTCGGGGCCGGCACATTTTCCCTCAACCAAGCTTGGGTGCTTTTTGCCTTATGGGATGGCGTCAAGTCTTGCTGAAAATCTCAATCCTTATTGTGAAATAACGTATCAGACAAGGGTTTCACTACGACCTCTAAAATGTCACTCTAATAATTCTTGGCTTTCACCTTGACAACTTGTTGGCAGAAATGGAGCGGAGTGACACCTTCATATGAAACTCCCCACCACACCATTACACTAGCCGGATGATGAATGCGCGAGATATTCCGTGCAGAAGCTGGGACATCCTTGCTACTTTTAGCGTGCATTTTATTGTTTTGTCGGTTGAACGCGCGAAATATTAGTCTGCAGAGCGAGTTTCTACTGAGTGCGACATTGATTTCGTTGAAGTTACTCTCGGATGATTTTGATGTTTGCAGGCGTCCTCATAGAGCGTGGCCGACCATTCCTTTTGCGATCTTGCAGAGAACTTGTCTCTTTATACCGCTGTATTGTGTAATAGTCGTACGGTTTATAGGAAACCTTTTCAGCTCGCGGAAAATATGCATCGGTTTTTTTCCCGCCTTAAATAGCGAAATGCAGTTGCACGTTATTGTTTCCTTCCCTCCATCACGAGAAAATATCAAAAGTTAACATTCCAAATTCATAACCGGTAAAAAAAATATAACAGCCAGTAACATTTTATTTTATTTTATGTTTTTAGTAAAAAGTTTGTCCCAAAACTTATGAACACACGATGTATAGATATTATTAAATGTTAATATATGCCAAATATAAAATAAAAATAGTACTCATTACATTTCATTTTATTTTACAATAATAATGAGACAATATCGTACCTTACTGGCGTCCAGTGGATTATCACTAATTTCTACCACAGCACCTGGATGAACTTGTCTCGTTCTGAAACAATCGCGTATTATAAAATTAGCGCATTAAAATCTTAAATGTAAAACTTCAATATTGTAATGTTAAAACATATTATTAGCTCCTGTCGATATTTCAGGAGGGTGTCTGATTAATTTGAAGGGGTATTAAGCAACGTCGGCGAACCATCAGAGAATTCAATGAACTCTTGAGCCCTCTTTTGAAAACTTCACCTTTGGAGGGAATTTATTAAATGTTATGATGATTAAATACCGTTGAAACATCTAAGGGATTTTAACGCACATCTAGTCGTGTTACATTAAATATTATAAATTAATAACCCTTATATTAAAATAAAGCTGTATTTTCCTAAGAAGTACAACATATAGAACCTAATGATTTAAAATTTGAACCGTTTGTATATCAGTGTTAGTTTTCTCAACTACTATATATAAGTAAAAATTAACTAAAGTTCAATCATAACTTTTGAATGAGATATTTGTTAAAAAGTTTCAATACGAACGCACCAGACACATCCTGTAGCTGACTTGATGTAACACATCACCTAACTTATTTGTTGTCTATAATAATGTCGCCATAAGAATTTCTATGAGATGATTCACAAGTCTATTAACATCTCCACTGTTGGGGCTCAGGCCTGCCCTATGGATGGAATCGAATCAAATTGTATAAGGAGAAAAAAGATATGAAAAGATAGATCCACTATATTAAAGTGAAATATTTTTCCTAACTTCTAAAGATTATCAAGTCACGATACTAGCGATATATATCCAGCGATAAAGAAGTCTGTTTTGTTGTTGTTTCGCTTACTGATTACACCGCTGAGACTTAACAAAAGGCATTTGCGAGATATGTTTTGGAAATTTTCCTCCGCAACTCCCGTGAAGTTTTACCAGCTCAGCTTTGGATAACAAAATGTACGATATTAAGTTTATTTCAATATACGTGCGGGTGATGAGAAAAGTATTTTTGGGTCTGATTCGTGATAAAGTATGAAATCAAAGTAAAGCACGTAATTTTGGTCGTTTGGCGGCTAACGAGTGTCGTTCTCAGTAGAAGTTAGATCGATGCTGAAAGCAACCATCTCTAGATGAACAGTTATTGTGGTATTCTCTTAAAGGCGTCACAGGTGCGGCAGCCTTGAAACGAAACCAAATAAATGAACGATTTTTTAAATTTACACGATTAAAGAATCTGCTCGTGGTAAAACAATGGACGTGACATGACAAGCTAGTAACATATAAAACGATGTGGCGTCTACTTGTTAGAAACGGCTAGACATTATCAACACTATCATTGTTTTGTTTAGGAACAGATTCTGCAAAGTAAACTCGGAGAGTAGATTACTATTGTAATCAAAATTTCAAGTGAGATTTTATGTGTATTTCCTGATTCATCAACATCTTTGTAATGGTCTCACGGAGGGGGCTGTGTGGCTGTTGGTTTGTCGCACGCCGTTTGTCGCGTCGGCAGGCGCCACTTGTTGCGATGTCGCGGCGACACACCCCCTCCCATCTCCCTTTATTGACGTCGAGATTAGCCCCTTATTGGTTTAAAAGCTTTTCCAAATGAATGCGGGTATTTCATTATACTTTCCAATTTCATTTTATTTCGATTAATAAATCTCGTACCAGAGGGGTACAGAAAAAAGGTCATCATTTGGATAAAAAGTTTATAACAATTAATGAGAAAGTTTATGTTACGCTAACGAACTGGTTCGAAGAACCGGTTCCCACAGATGAACTACGTGAACTAGATTCTACATTTTCCGTTCCGTAGTTCGTTAGTTCGTGAAAGAATGAGTAAAGGTGAAGTCGTCCGAACTAATATCATGTTAAAAATATAAAGGCGAAAAATATAATGTATAGGTATTATTCGCTGCCTCAACAATAAACCTAGTTATTTAGATCCAAAAAATATATTTTATGAATATTAATTCATATGTTTATTTATGTTATTTTTTTGTGTCAAAAATTTTTATGTTTTACAGTGTTCAATAATCTTTTAGCAGTAGGAGCAGTATCAGAATGAGCGAAACTGTATTAAAATAATTCAATATAAGGCAGGCTGATCGTTCGCTCGTTTCAAACTGCTCCTGCTGCAAAGAGCCAAAAGCTAAGCGAACTAGTTCGCTTAGGAGCCGCCAACTAACTCGTTCGATATCAGCTGTGAATTAGAATTTAGACTGTTGAACAGCTAGTATTTAGACTGTCGAAAAATGCCAAGAGTAATGTAAAAATAAAGTATAACATTTGTTCCAATTATTTGCTAACTCAGCCACTATTATTATTGGAGATAGTGCACAATTGTGTAAGAAATTGAGAGTATGACACACTTGAATAATGTATCCGGGCAGAGCGAACAACAGGCGTCAACTGTTGCTTGTCCGATGAGAGATAGCGGGAGCGGCACGGGCCGACATAAAGCGCTTCCGACGCTAACGTTGCTGCGACCGACCGACGTTTAGTCGCGTCGCTGCTGTCGCCTGTCGCTTGTCGCACGTCGACCGCGCACTGCCCGCACCACCACTAGCGGTTATCGGCTGTGTTCAACGTTAACGGAATTGTTTGCTCTCACAATCGACACAGGCTTCGTCGTTCTGTATTCGAGCGAACATGAAACTGTTCAGCCAGTCGAGACCAATGGGATTAGCACGGTTGAAATATTACGAAATGTCAGTTTTATATGTTTCTCATTTTACCGTCTTTACCAAAGTGTAATGGTATTTATTTGTATGTACGGGTATACCTCACAGAATACAGTAACAACATTAATCGAAAAGCTGTTTGTGACACCCTCCTGAATTATTTATACATTTCATTCTGATCTCACGTTACCCTATCGTTTAGGCAAAAGACTGGTACTGGTTCTTCAATGAAACGTTACAGCACAATATACTTCTTTATTTTGATGATAATAATTGTGGAGCCCGATTTACATAGTGCGAAGTCTTATGGTAGACAGGAAAATTTAAAAATAATATTTCACAAGCACCGTCTAATATGAACGCCTTCTATAATCAAATAGCAACTTTAGACGACTTGCTACTAATAAAATGCAAGGCGCCTCTAGGCGCAAACACCTATCGTTTTCGTAGCGCTTTTGTAATTTCCAAACAAACGGGAATTTTATTACGGCGGCGACGGGGCATTTTCTTTCAAATCCTTTTTCCTTACTTTGGCGTCTGTTACGGATATCATTAGCATGCGGATGTAATTTAAAATCGGTTGTCATATTTATTTAACAATGGAACAGTTTCAACCCTAGTTTTTTTTATTGTAAATACGACACCATTGGCGGAAGTTCATTAGGAAGCGTCAATGAACGTGCGTTATTCGAATTAAGAATTTGACGTAAGTCAACAGGGCTGGCACACGCTCGAGGGTGTATTATAACGACCTTTATTGTCTGTGAATTTAACGTTTGTAATAGCGGCGAGAGCTCGCCCTTGGCGGCACAACTTCGCCAATTAAGACCTCTGTTTATAGTGCAAAGTGTGAATTAGCTTTGGTTTAGCCGCACTATAGTTTGCCTAAACGTATGTGTAATGACTGCCTACTCATTAATTATTATTTTTTAAGCAACGTTACGCCCTTCACAGAAATAAAGTAAGATAGGGCGAATATTTTTTAAGTGCTAGTTAACAATAATATAGTGGAGCTCATTTAAAACGGTTGATTCATCAACTATACCTGTACGTATATGATATTAATAACAGCAATATGAACGCAAAACGTAAGCGAAGTTAATTATTCGCTTAGTAATATAACGTGCAATGTAGACATGAAATTAACCAAATATACTATGCGTTTTCTTTTTGTAATCGTGGACTAAGTAATTTTATTTAACATTTCATTGGTTTGCTTTGGATGTATGAAAATCTAGTATATCATTACCATCAAGTAACAAGTCAATACCTTTTCGACGAGGTGATGTATATCGGGCTTGATAGCAGAAGAAGGTCGTTTAAGTAGAATTGTTGTTGATTTGCGGCTCTAAGACATCAGCATATGACTATGGAACTACACCAATCGAATACTGCTGTACGTATATTGTGGTTTCAGATTGAAGTATAAATTGATTAATTAGTTACTTTAAGAGCGAATCAATACGGTGGCTTGTTCCAACAATTAACTTCATCCAAGGCTACGCTGTGTGAAATTTCATCTCGTCGTCGTCGATTTGAAAAGCCCGCCGAGAGGTTTCACGGAATTTAATAAGTACGGTATATCAATATCGCGGTTCGAATAACGTTATGAACAATTATGTCAAACGTTATATCGCACACTGAATAGTACAGTGGCACAACTCAAAAACCATATTTCGAGAAACGGAGGTGGGGGGGAGAAATAATACCGAAAAATAATAGTATTGTCCGACTTAATATGGCCAATAAACAAACTAAACCGGCAAACTGGTTGGTCTTATATTTGCCGATAGCATAGTTCTTATTTTCATTCTATTATCTTATATTTTCAATGTATCTTTCTCTGTGGTTCTTATTATCTTTACATGTAGAGATGTTCTTGTTTAAAATCGGTTATAATGTCATACAATTAAATAAAACCCGAAGGCAAAAAAAAGCTAGTACATAGCTATTAAAAGTAGGTAATAATAAGGGTTAAAGTATGAAATTGCCGTTTTGTACTGAAAATCAAAATTGTTTAATCAAAATAGTTACCATTTTTATCTATACATTGCTGCCATTTAATAGGAAGGTCATATATGTCTTTGCGATAGAACTCTGAGGATCTAGACTGCACAAACTGTGTGAAAGCATTTTGTACTGCCTCCTGGGAAGAAAACTTCTTGTCACGTAGATAATTGTCCAAATCACAAAATAAATGGTAGTCCGTTGGAGCAAGGTCTGGCGAATACGGAGGATGACGAATGGTTTCTAACTGCAGTTCCTGAAGGGTCAAAACGGTTTCTCGTGCTGTATGAGGTCTCGCGTTGTTCGTTGGAGCAATAATGGTGCAGATAAATTCATGAGTCGGGGCTGTTTTAATGATAGT